CCCATCTTGGGGCAATCATTATACAATATGCACATAATTTTCCCAGTCAGATGACAAAGTTACAAACCAGAAAACTATAAAGGCTACTGTGATGATTCAATTGGTTTTTCCCCAAAGATTGGGGCCAAGGGACATAACTTTTAAAAAGTGTGGATTCAACTATTTCACAGGCGTCTTTTTTGTGACAAGGCCTACTTTGGATACCAACAATTTTGACCATTGATCTAGGAGTTTGACCTACTTTTGAAAAACGTTCTTTTTGGCTAAAACGTTTGAACAGTTGGTGCTAGGGCTTTAATATTTCACATGTGTATTTCTCTTGAATGTATACCTTTAATTGGACCCTTTGACCTTGGAGTTTGACCCCCAATAAAAACATTTACCTTGGCTATAACTTTTCAATGGTTCAAGATTGGGTTTTCGTATTTCACACAGGTATATTCATTGAGAGCAAGTCAATTTTTAGTAACAACATTTTTCATCCCATGTAAATATGAGATTGACTATCATTTGAGAAACTTCAACCTTCGCCATAAGCCAACATACGGGGGCATCAGTGTTTCACAAATACATCTTGTTTTAAAAAATTAAGTATACATATAAAGTTAACGTTATTTTGAGTACATCATGTAAATTTGAAAGCTACATGTACAATGAACAAATTACTCACACATAAGTATTGTTCAGATAGTTTCAATCCATTTAGTTTTACAATTGAATTAAAAAAAACAATATAATTGTAATTTATTAATTTTCAAATAAATATTTATTGGGTGATTTGTCTATTTTGAATAGTTCTGAAGGTGAGTTTTTTTTTATTTTTGACTGTAAACAATTACTCTGAAGTTGATATAAAATAAAATGCTTGATTGTCTGATTGACAATATCTATGTGTTTTGGAGACCAGGTCTTCAAATAATTTGTTGGAATTCCCATTAATACCAATTATGCCCCATTATAAGCAGAACATTTGTAATCAAATGAAGCAGAATTTACTCAAAATTCTTGTACATGAGTAGAAGAAAACACTTGTGGTGGCCTTCAACTCGGTATTTAGATATAACGACGTATATTCAATTAACAATAGATATTGCCATTCATATGTCAACACGATATGTCCCAGTGAGCTTAAAATAAAAGATACCACCAAGTCTGATCTGGCACACCTGTTTCATATTTAGATATTTTACAAGAAAACGATTTTAATGGTAACCTAACAACAAAGATTTATGATAAACGCAATGCCTAACTTTTCACTCGTCAATTTCCCTTACGCACGCAACAATATATCCTTATCACCTAAATATGAGGTTTATATGTCTCAGTTGATTCGATACACAAGACCATGTTCTACGTATGAACAATATCTTAAATAGGGTAATTTATTGACAAACAAGTTGATGAAAGAAGGATATCAACAGACTCGTTCTAAGTCATCAGTTTGTAAATTCCATGATCGGTACAATGACCTTGTCAGCACAAACAATCATTTTTCATACTAATTGTTACACCGAAATGTCATCGGTTTTTCCCATCTTGTCCCGATCATAAAAAGAAGCACACAGCAGGTGGGAATGCTCACTCCTCCACCTGACACCTGATCCCACGTTTGATGTTTTAGAGATCCCTGTTTGCTCCAACTGATTTGTATAGTTTGAATGCACTTTTGAGCTTGAACCCTGTTCGTCAATTAAAACATACAGAAATGAAAATCTTAGAATTCGATAAGACTGTTATTAATTTCAAGATTCATATGAAGAAATTCCATTTGGGGGATGATGGATGTAAACTTCGGAAAACCGTAATGACTAATTGTGCTGGATTGTCAAATTAGCAAGAATATTTAAAACAGTTGCCAAAATGGCTAAACAAAAGCCGTTGCATTGAATAGTCTATGACAACTACAATCTATAGTATCGGGAAGCGCGTTGTCGAGACCTTTATCTAACTGTGAATGGTTTAATTCACTATGTTCCCGTAATAAACATCATATATAAAAATCAGTGCTTTCTATACATGACGGTCAACAGTAAATTATTTCCAAGCAGGTTATTGTATGGCTAAGTGAACAGAATCAATGGCCACACAAGTCTCTCGATATCTAATGGAATAAAATTGGGAAAATCTACTCCAGAATTCTTTGAGCCGTGGTATAAGTGCCAAACTGTTAATTTGCTGTCAAATACTGTATTTTATTCCTCGTTTAACAAAGCCCTTACAGTGTATCGAAATGAAAGCGCTCATGTTGAATAATAAGCGGAGTCAAAAGTTGATTTACCAGCAAATTATTATGGATTCTTCACTGAGCTTTGGATTAATTTCGATCTGCACTCTATGTAGTGATTAATGTTAATAATTACTCATATAATGTAGTGAAGTAAATATATACATCTATGTGAATAATAATATTTAAATGGTTACCTCCACTAAACTTTAAGGACATATGTAACGTACCTTATCTTAATTTAAGATTAAAGTGCCATCAGATGTTCGTAGAAAAAAATCAGCATGCATTACCAGGGGTTTTGATTAGATATTTTTAGATGAAAATTTTTGTATAATTCAAAATTACTAAACATATATTTTTTAAATTTTTTTTTGTACAAACTTGTTGTAGAAGAAGTTTACAACAACATATATAGACATTAAAATGTAGCACATACTTTCTTCAAGTATTGGAACTTTTCAACAGGAAGAAAGACTATAAAATTCAGACTACGTTGCACATTTACTAGCTCTTCTAATTCCTAATTATGATATCTACCGCACCAACCAAGTTCATGTGTTTAAAAATTTCTCTTTTATAACTATTTTCCAATAATTTTATTATTAAAAGATTGGCGAAAGATCGACGCTTGATTTTATACGTTTTAATGATCTTTTTTTTTTATTAACCCAAATAACAATGAATGTTTCACAAATACTCCAAGAGATAATGCTTTATACTTGTAGAAACATTAGGAATGTATCTAAGAACCCATGTAACATTCCCGCTGGAATTTGTTTGAACTGGAAAGATTTAAGCTAAATTAATGCCAAGGGAACAATATTTTTTATATAAGCGATGTAAAATGAGGTGAACTGCAAAGAAAAAGTATAACTTCCTTGACGAATTTGTGGCAATTAGTAAAAAACATTTGTTTCTTTGTTATTTGAAATTCATTCCTGTGACCTCACATTGGGAAAATACTTTTATTGTTTCTGTTATTGGTGAGAGGATTTATAACGTTTAGTATTAGAAACATACGATATTCCAAAGCACCTACATTTAAAAAGATTTAAATTCTTCGAATGAAGTGATTAGTCCTTATAAAGAGAGGTTAATTCAGAAACTGCAAAAATATGCTGTTTTTAGCCGAAAAAGTCGTTAAAAAACCTGTTCAAATCATCCCCGCCAGTGCTAGGATGGGGCCACAGAAGCATTTTTTCATATAAACATGCATACATACAGAAACTGTTAAGAACACCAATGCTACTAGTGGTAATCTGAATGTGCGAGCACATTAATTAACTGCAGATTCATCTTAAGGTAGGATTCTTCTCTGGTTTCTGACTAGATGAAACATTCAAAGTATATTTACCTATGTGTCTTATATATTGAGGTGTAAGGAATTTCAAAGACCATATTTTTCTTTCCTAATCACAACTGTACAACTTTAAATAGAAATGGTAAACTGCGTTTGAAAACTAGCAGGGACTATATTTTTGGCGGAATGGTGGCGTATGAAAATATCTTCTTTTCTGCCTCTCAAAATTATAATGGAACAATGAATTTAGTTATAATTTTTACACAATCGAAGACTTGGAGGAATTTTCAAATGTAATTTAAATTAATAATGAGGGACTAAACTTTCAAAATATATCAAATAAATATGATTTTCCAAACAAACTAGAACTTTGTTAGCTTTTAAACGCTTCCTATCAAAGTGCAGATTTGAGCCAAAAATCCATAAAAAGTATTTTTTCTCTCTTAGTAAACGATCAAAACTTTTAGTTTTTGTATCATTTTGTACATTTATAAGACTACTCTATTATATGTGAAAATAAAAAAAAGTTAAATATAGGAAGCATATGAAAATAACTAATATATCCTAAAAAATTAAGAAAAACAGAGAAAATTCGAATTAGCCAATATCCAGGTAAGTTAAATTATTTATGTAAATTTGGTAATATCATGCTATAGACCCGATATATTACTATGTTTTTATGCAAAAAGAACAAATTTGAAACTTTTGAAATAGAATTAGGTATCACATGATTGGAAACAGTATTTTTTTAATTCTTAATGTCAAGGAAAAAGATAATGACCTTGACCTGACCTTGCCTCTAATATAAAACGGTCAAATTTAATTTCACTAATACTATCACTTACTAATATTGTCTTCTTGATTCTGTGAAAATTTCATTAATTTTTAAATATTAGAAATATGAGAAGAATCCTACCTTAACAAAGCTAGATTCTTAGAACGAAGGCGATACCCTGTAAGATATGCATGTAAATTCTTGTATAAAATTTCAATGCTTATGCTCCAGTTATTCAAATAATTGCCTATACAGTACTTTCAAAAATATATTCTAGCTGCTTTAAATCATCTCCCTTGACTAAACTTAGACATTTTGTAGAACAACAAAACTAAAATTGGTTGATTAAGTACATTTATGGAATTAATGTAAATGTATCTTTCAATTAAGTTTGAATTTTCTTAAAAATCACCTGCTGAATTAGATAGATAAACGTTCATTTTCATCTTTTTTTAGCAAGCATCTCCCTCAAATTTCATACACATTGATCGTCTAATGGAATATTAAGGATGCGATTCAAGGTCATTAGTCATTTATGATGACCAGGGATATTATAAGGAGACACATGTTTGATCCTATTTTGATTTGAATCTACAATTAATGCTGTTTTAATTCTTTTTCAGGTTCTGACGTTTGTCATGGATCATACAGATATATAACAACTAGTATATAAAAACTAGAAAGATATAAAGGAGCCCCGCCATGCCAGACCTACAGATCAGTCGACAGACTGTATCTAAATACATCTCACAAGTATTCTCAGTAGCCTCGCTTGGTTGTTTTTACGACTGTGAGGTGGATCTAGTGTTTCTGCTGTACAGTGTAGCTGATTCATTGCTGGACGCCATCCTCAGACCAAATGTACCCCAGATGGTTTGTTTTACCATGTATCCAGAGCAAACACAACAATGTCGACATATGGAGATGCATGCAGCAATACAAAGTCATGTTCAAAGAGAATCCACGACATACCTCATCCTACACAAACTTCTGACAAACACGCCAGCATTGGTGTTAGGAATGTTTTGTGGCGCCTGGAGTGATAAATATGGTCGAAAACTTCCCATGGCTTTGCCGTGTTTTGGAACAACCTTTGCTGTGTTATTTTACATGGCTGCAAATATGGCCTATAAAGGAGCAACAAATCTTTTCCTTTGTGGATCTTTTGTTCACGGCTGTTTTGGTAAGACCGCCATGATCAATATGGCAGTAAACAGTTATATTGTCGATGTTACAACAGTTGAAAAACGAACTAAAAAGCTGGGAATCTTGGCAGCTATGCAGTTCTTAGGGATGTTTGTTGGGTCTTTGCTAGGAGGGTTGTTGATCGATTTGACATCTGTTCTGACGTCATATTGCATCGTATCTGCAATAAGTGCTGTTGTTGTCACCATGACTTTGCTTTGCCTCCGAGAAACAATTAAAGCTGATGACGACGAAAATTTATCTCCATGCAAGTCTTTCTTTCAAGGCAGCAATGTACAAGATTCATTCAAAGTTCTCACAAAGAACAGAAGCAGAAATATACGAACTTGTATATTTAGTCTTTTTCTCATCGTTATACTTCATCAAACATGTAGAACAGGCTTAACTGACGTCACTCTGCTTTATACGGAAAAGTCTCCACTTAGCTGGCCAACCTCGTGGTTCGGTTATCTTTCAGCAGCTGAAAATGCTGCAATGGGCATAATTTTGTTGGTACTGCTTCCAGTTTTCTCTAGTGTTGCAAAACTGAACGATGCAACAATTAGTATGATTGGATTATCTTGCGCATGTGTACGATTTGTGATTATGACTTGGAGCAAAAAGACTTGGATGGTATGGTTATCGATGGTCATTGGAAGTATCGGGGGCGTCATTAACTCGCCAGTTCGCTCTCTTTTGAGCAAAATGGTCCACGAAGATGAGGTTGGGAAAATGTTTTCCTTACTTGGAAGCGGGGAGACAGTTGCTAAATTCTGTGCTGTATTTTTTACTTATCTATATGGTCACAGTCTAGATATTTTTCCTGGGTTGCCTTTTATATTAGCAGCCGTTTTATACATTTTTATGATAATCATAATGTTTATAGTGCATATCAATTCAAGAAAATCGACTGATGACACTCCTGATTTACCCCAGGAACAATCAAATTTAGAGTTGAATCGCATCAACTATACGGCGGCTGAGAATACCCCGTGTAAGAATCGGGGCTGAAAAATCGTGTTCTTACTATTGTCTAGATATGTGTTAGAGATAAGAATATTACATTTTTTTAAATTATCACTTTTTATAGAGATGTGTAAAGTAGATATCTTTTCAACAAAATATTTACGCCATCTTGCCATACGTTCACAGTGCTAAATCCGATTGCAAGTTCTGCAAATTTAGAATATACGTGTATTTTTTTCTAATTTAGCTCAACTGAGCCTGAGACTTACAGGAGATTAATTCAAAATGGTTGTCTGTTGTCCGTGTGTCTCTAAAGTAAATAAATTAAGACTGCAATTAATTGACTCCAGCTCCTGTGAAGCCTTGTTTTCGACATTTTATCAGCTAAAGGAATATGTTGATAAAGACAGTGCTTAGAATCGAATATCCCATCTCGATTGCAAAAATACTGGTACTTGACTTACACAAACTTTGTTCATTGGTAATGGACTGTAGAGCTAAACATCAAATGAAAAAAAATATATACATATCTCATTTTTCTATATCCAGTTTGATACAAGCTTGGAATTGAAAAAGCTTAACATTTTTTCTTGAAAAGAAAAAAAGAAACATTGCGAATTGAAAAAGTTTAACATTTTTTCTTGAAAAGAAAAAAAAGAAACATTGCGAAATGGTCGCCTACTACATGACGGTATTCATATGAATATGCGTGACTGTAGTCAACAAAATTTTTAAACATAAAAAGGTTGAATCTGTATGTTTCTTTTTAATTGATACTTCACATCTCGTATGTATACAATTAACGTGAAAGGGCAATTGAAAGTTTTATAGACAAAGGCACGTTGCTGTATAGTGAAACACCGAATTGTTAAAAAAAAGTTAATCGATCAATCAATTAAAACATTGAAGAATTTATATTTTGTTTAATAGGCAAAGCAATTAAGAAGAATTTCAAAGATTTTAAATTAAACTAAAAAATATTACCCCCACTTCGAATATAAATCCCTACATTTATTATTGAAAAGATCAAACGTTGACAAACGGCAATTATGTTTAGGATAAATTGCCGATTCTCTTAGAATTACGGCTTCTTCTTAACAAAATAATTTGAATTTTTGATAAAATATTTATGCTCAGAATAAAAATAATTGGGAAGACTACCCACTTCCGAGGTAAAATTTCTTTTAAATTACTCAATTGAAAAAACTTTTTTACTACTCAATTATAAAAAGATGTAGTTCTACAATTTGAATTTAGTTTGACGGGATAAAAATTCACAAACATAATCTAAAATAAAAATAGGTTACCATGAATGAGAGTAATTTTAAAGTTTGGATTCGAACTGGAGAACAAAGATTTTGAGGAAATCGAACTTGAAATATTGTGTAAAACTATTTGTTATCGATTCTCAAAAACGTTTTTTGAAAAATATGGTGTTTATACAATTGATGTTTTTATTTTATTTTTTACAATAATGAATCTAGAAATAATTAATAACTTATTAATCACTAAATGATTAGAATTTCTTTGTAAAAAAAAATTCAATTAAAAGATTAGGAAATTCTTACAACTGTGTTGTTAATACTAATACTGTAGAATTGCAATTAGATTGATGATAATTCTAGTGGTGGTAATAAGATTACATGATTAGTGATTGCACGAAAAGCATTTGTACAGTAGAACACGCAAATAAAAAAGTCTATTGTGAATTTACATTTACTGCGGAAAGCCATATTTTTCCTTTGAGAGAAAAGATCGAAAATTCAGTATATAACGACTCATTTTCAATTTGCCCCAGATGGTTGGTTATAACAATGTGTTATTTTCACTGTATTTTATACATATAGTGAACTTATGCTGTAGGAATCCTAATATAATTATGAGATAAAGATTATATTTTAATATATAGCAAAACACTCCAATATTGAAGACTACATTGTATTTGTAAGAGGCTATTTTTTTTTTCTAGCAGTGTCTAGTATATGTTAGCACATCAAGTATTTTTTGGTTAACAATGTTCACATGTTATACATGTGGTTGATTTTTTTAAAATAAAGTTTTCATTATCATTTAAAAAAAAAGAAGTTTTTAATGAAAATTTCAAATTGAAATATAGTTTGCTTTTCATGACCATGAGAAAGTTTTTCACTGTGTATATTGAACTGGCTGCTAGGAAAGATGTCAGATTAAAATATTTTATATCAATACTTAGTTAAATTTACTGGTATACAAAAGTACGGATATTACAGATTTCTTCTTATATATATTTGTGTTATGCTGGTTTGTCTCACCATTTTTATTATCTTTACATTTAAAATGATCTCAAAAGTTCGATTTTGTTTTGCTTTGTGTTAGATGTTTTTCAATTACACATGTATTTCATAAAAAAGAAAGAAAAAATAAATGCGTTTGTTTGAACTCATAAGGCTAAATTTCCTGTCTTTGTATAGTACTTTTATATCTACTGTCAGGAGCTCCCATAAGTTCTGATACATTTATACTGATTACCTTTGTATAAATGAAAGAAAAGCAAAAACAAAGTGCGGATGGTCCTTTGCTTACTATAGAACTCTGTTTTTCAAATGGAGCTACATGTACATTAAAGATATTTAAAACAATGATGCAGTTTTAGTAATGAATGGTCATTTTGCCTCAAGAGATCATTTAGGAAGATAAATTTTAAGGTAGGCTACTGGCAGATAAGTTGATACAACAAGGATTTTAACAACCACGTTTAAAAGTCAGCGTTTGTTTATTAGAAGTATGTGAGAGGATTTGCTACTAGTATTCTTTACTGCCAATTTGCTATAAAACGTATTGTTAATTGGACTTTGTTCAAATGTTATTTCTATAAGTATTCATTTTGCACTATTCTTATGTATCAACAGTCAGATTCAAGAGTAAATGACGCCAAAGACTGACTTATCGTTCATTCACATTTGAAATGTTGAAAAGGTATTTACCTTATTTAACTCCAGACTTGACATCCAAAATATTTATAAAAAAAGAAAATAATTAATTTTAAAAGATACAACCTTGTTAAAGAGATATCTCACTAACTTTAAGATAAATCTCTAAAGAAATATCTCTCTACGTAAAAAAACAAAACATTTCTCTTGTTTAAAGAGGTATCTCTGTAAATTATAAAGATATCTCTCTTGGTCAAATAGATATCTGTATAAGCTTAAGAGATATCTCTCTATGCTAAAAAGAGATCCCTCTTTTAGAAAGAAATTGAAAGTTTTTATATTACGAATAAATTGTAGAAGGGTTTGCCATACTAGAGGCATACATTGATATCGAAAGCACACATTCAGGGTAATTTTGAGTACCAGGACGCAACTGTTGACAACAAATTGGAGATCAATGGAACAGTTCATAGTTACTTCTTATTCAAAGTAATGGGTTTCCTGCATGGGAATCAAAGGGTTTGTGTGGTAAATGTGGACTTCCAGGTCAGACAAAGTGTCTGGCTTATTCTGTAAGGTCGTCATCTGCAAGATATTTTAATGGTTTGTTTATTAGATACATCATTTATAAAAACGATTAATCATAAATGTAGCACCATTATAAAATGTTTGCCTTGAAGATCCAGTGTGATCGTTCAAGATCACAGGTGTAGGGAACTTCAACGTTACAAGGTTTTGCTTGTAATTTTTATGTAACTTCAATCCAGTAATTTCAAAATTTAGAATGCTACACTTTCTTCTTTCATAGATTTAACAGACCCAGGAAAACTTTATAACTGGCCCAAATATTCACGACATTAACATTTGTTGTTCTAGAAGACATGAATAACAAAGAGCTTTAACTCTTCCTTGGCTTGTTTAACGCCTTTTACAGTATTTTTCACTCATATGGAGACGTTAGCCGGTGGAGGTTTTTCATTCATTAACATTTTGATCATCAAAAAAATGACATGTTCTAGAAAACATGAATAATGAAGAGCTTTGACTCTTCCTTGGCTTGTTTAACGTCTTTTACAGTATTTTTCTCTCATATGGAGGTTTGTAAAATTGGACCTGTACTCGGCACTTATGGCCTATGAGCAGTTACCGTCACTTTTCGTGCTAAAACCTACACGGGAGTCTCGGTTTTATATGGTCTCATCCGAAGGACTGCGGTCTTCATGTTCCTCAGTGGAAGTCGAAGCCTTGACGTAAGGATCAACACCTAACTCTACTGCTCTTAGAGCAAACGCTCTAACCATTGCATCACGCAGGCTTCGTGTACAATTTTCGTCAAAATATCTGTATTTATTGGAAATTCATTAAATCCTGTTGACAGTTTATTTTTTGTGGTAATTAATTGTTTAAAACTGTCAGTTAGATATGAATAGGTAATTACCACATGCTTCTACTCTAAAAACTATGGTTTATTTACTTTGAAGTTTAACGATAACTTGTTCATTGCATATTTTGTAAGACCTGGGATAGATCATGCAGGGTGAACATTTGCATTCGAAACATTTATTTTAAATACATTTTTTCTCTCTTTTGCAGAATAAATCCCATAGAGAGCTTTGGTGAACAAAACTTAGAGAAAATTGCCATCGCAAATATTTTCTTACAATTGCATATCTAGTGTCAAGTTAAAAGTTTGAATTTAGATATTGAATTTCGAGCATAACAACGGCAATGTAAGCATTCACGTTGTTACCAAATTAAATCAAAGTTTGGTTAATCAAAATGAAATCATGGGTGTTTGACATGTTATTTTTGTATCAATTCGATCAATTCTTTTGGTTCTGTTTGTCTTCTTAGCTTTTACGTAAAGCTAAAGTTTATTTTCAGCTGAGATGACATTTCATTTTTACTACACTTATAAGCATACATGTATGATTTCCCCTGACATTCTTTGTTTGATAAAACATGGGATGATACAGCTCAGATTTAAAGAATTTTGAGAAATGTCACGGATTAGGAGAACCGAGACCGACTCTTTATACTAGTGTATGCCACACTATGTTGTTAATTAACCAATGGGCAATCAGGGGAATGAAATAAAAGCAATACCATTTACTGCTTGTCTGTTACTGTGCAGCCAATTATATGGCAATGATACAGTTGTTTTCCCCGAGTTCATCAGGAAATATATGTCCCAATAAAATTGTCTGATTAGCACTAACACATCAACCTTCTGAAGAGATTTGATAGCCGACACAAAAAGTTATCTGAACAAAGGCTTCAGAGATTTTGAAATATATGCGTTTGAATTGTAATGATTGTTGGAGCATTCCATAACACATATATTGATAACCAAAGCCCCCAGTGTCAAGTGTTCTAAGATATGAATTTAAATGGTCATAAGGTCTCCAGGAAGAAAACAGATAAGAATTATTGATGTGCAACACGAAGATCAGTGTCGCGTTTAATGGAAATGGTTGGTTTTATAAACAAATATCTGATTTCTAGAAGCAATTAAGATATCCTTGGTATTCTATTTTATTACAGTTACACCTACAACTTGATATAAATATTGTCTTGACCTTGGAGAATCGTAGCTATACACTTTGCATAAAACAGAAAGCGCCAATCGAAACGCCATACTTTATATAAAAGGATCTTTTAACGAATGTTGGTTAAACAGTCAAAGAAATAAGTGTAGCATTTTTAGAACATTTTCCAGTCGCAGAGAAACATATATACTGGAAGAAGAAGCTAATGACAAGAACCTGACTTAAGGTTATTTTACAAGAACACTAGGGAAATGGTTTTGGCATAAGTAATAATGTTAGAAACGAAAATTTTATGTTAAATGAAAATGTCATACATCTGGAAGGACTTCTTCTGGGTCAGGGGTTTCTGATCCAATCCGTTCCACATTAATCTTTGACCTAACTGACTAACTTTAACAGTTTACGCAAGTTTAAAAAAAAGTCAAGTGTTCAAAAATAATAGAGCAACTTGATAGACACCAACAGATATGTTCAACATAGGATTAATAAGAGCATATCGAAACTTTACTTAATTCATGAACTTGTCTTAACGTATCTTACCAGTAGCCAGGTTAGGCCAATAGTCCGCAGGTGGGGCGGGGGGTCCCGTACTTTTTCTGAAACTATTTTTCAAAAGAAGTTTTACAATTTAAATGGTAGATTTTAAAATTATTTTACTTTGTTAATTGTCATTTTGAAGTCCACAAATTTTTTGTGTACGGGCAAAATTGCAGCATTTTCTTTTCAAAAAATAAAACAAACAAACAAGTGTCTCCTTATTGTAGCTTACGATAAAGGATAAGTTTCTCAAAACCAAGTCAAACTCCAATGTTAAGGTCAAAAGGTTAAAACTGTTGATATCAAGTGGAAGGAATTTTCACAATGAATATGCATGTGAAATAAGAAAGCTCTAGATTCAACTTTTAAAACGTTGTGGACAGTGTTGAATTTTTTTTACAAAGTAGGTGAAACTCTAAGGTCAAGGTCAAAGATATATATACCACTTGAAAGGATTTGTCACATTGAATACACGTGTGAAGTATGAAAGCTTAGCATCAACTGTTCAAAATTTATGGCCAAAGTTAAAGATTGGTATTTTTGTTGAAAAAGGTAAAACTCCAAGGTCAAGGGATCGAATATGGCAGTAACAAAGAAAAGTCTTGACAAGGAATACGCCTGTGAAATATGAAATTCATAGCCCCAACCAGTCAAAAGTTATGGGCAAGAATAATATTATTGTGGACAAACAGACAACTAGACACAGCTAGATATATACACACTGTACGTAAAATCTTCGATTTCGGACGCATAAAAAATAAAAGTACAAAAAAATTATAACAATAATATCTATAGAAAGTAGAGAAAGATTTTAAACCCCTCATCCCCCAATCCGACAAAATAGGATTTTTTAGTTCGGTAAGTTTACATTTGGGTAGGGGTGGTCCCCCGCTTTGTTCTACGTTCCTTGGGACCTGCTTAAATTTAATAAATGTTTTTGGCGTTCTTCTCATCATTGAAAATACACTTTTAAAACCAGAACGGCAATGAAACCTTTTGTCTCGTTTGATTATGGACCACTTAAATTTGCTATTGGTGGCCATCTCTCATCGTGTAATTATTTCGAAACTAAATTGATATTTCATGTACAGAATATAGTAAAGGATGTAGATAACTTAAAACCTTTAATTTGAATATCAGATTATTTAACGGATCACTTAAGGTATGAATTACTATGTCTTATTGTTTATATGAACGGATATTTGAACTGCAAGGTTATAAGTGTGTATCTGGGTCCCCATTGTTAACAGAATCAATACATTTTCATCTCAACTCAATTGTGGAAAACAGGAAATTAACTATGAGAGCTGGATTTATTCTTAATACTGTAAGAATCCCATAATGAAAGTGCTACAAACTAATCATGAGAGCTCAAAGCATGCTTCTCTCTCTCTCTCTCTCTCTCTCTCTCTCTCTCTCTCTCTCTCTCTCTGTGTGTGTGTGTGTGTGTGTGTATTTCATTCCACATAAACGATATACTATGACCCGAGGACCAAAAATTCACCTTATCATACTTATTTTCTACTCTTTTTGAAAAGTAAATATTAACAAATTGAATATTGGCTAATTATTTACTCTTGATGTTGTAAATGTTTTCTAGCTCAATACAAAGTGGAATGGATCAACAAAAAAAAATTACTTTTATATTTCAGAAAAAAGATTTTTCTTAAGCTTGATGACATATGGGCCAAGCAATTGCATATAAAACATTCCTATATTACATAAGTTACAAAGTTTGAGATATAGAAAGGATATTCAATGTTTTGTAGTTGAATATCGAATTTATTTCTGCTTCGCACTCGTGAAAATATAAAAAAAAATCCTGTTCCACTCGTGAAATAAATTTCATATTCAACTACAAAACATTGAATTTTCTGTTTGTTACATTTTTTTTTATTTTCCCCGTGCCTCTGTCTTTTTGTAACAGAAAGTCAAAGGCCATCATAATAGAGCAGTTGAGACATCATAGCTTAATTTAGCGATTGCAAAATAAACATGGATTTCAAGAGCCTAATTGGAGAAACTTGGGCGATTTTAGACTTACTCTCTCTATTTTAAAACAGGCCAGGGAGTATTTTTTACAATACACTGCGACAGGATATCACTTTTATTCAATGAATAATTACAATATTTCAACGTTGAAAATGTAATAAAAAGAATTTTAAAAAATTGTAATTGAGAAAAAAAATCAAGTTTTTTTCATAGATATTTCCAAGTAAAACTACGATCCCCCAAAGAGGTCCCTCCTTACCGCGGGGATCAACTTTTAAAAACTGAATTTATTATCGTAAATCAACTAATGAATTAATAAACTGAGAATGTTTTCATATCTCAGGACATCTATTCACAAAAAATCTTACGACTAATCGTAGTCGTAAGACAGTCGTAAGATTTTGTCGTAAGATTTTGCCAATTCACAAAAAATCGTACGATTGACGTTACGTCATATTCTTGTCGTAAGTTTACGTCTAGTCTTGAGCAGACGTAAGTCTTATATTGCTATGGTTACGATTCCAATATGGCTGCAACCTTTATGATTATGTCTGCTGCAAGCGAGAGAAGAAGGAAACCCCCGCGACCACGGAAATTCAGAGATCGGACAAATCCTTTAGACAATTTGTCCGATTTTGACACAATAGCTAGGTACCGTTTGCCGAGACAGGAGATAGTAGAGCTCCTTAATTCAGTTAAAAGAAGACTACAAAGACCAACAGCACGAAGCCGTGCTGTTCCTGATATCACACAGGTAAAAAAAAATCAATCTAAAAAGAACATTTTTAAGGATATCACATGGTGCAATTTATAATTATTTTTCATTGACATATCATTTCTAAAAATATATATTTTATATATAATATATCATATCCTTGTGAATTATCATAACATGATTTGATTATAATTATACCTGAACTCCGGTCTATGTCAAATTTTACCGACAAAAAGAAAAAAGAAACTCCAAGTGACTATCAAATACAGGCATTCCTGCCCAAGAAAAATAGCAGTATATGATCAATTTCAAATTGTCTAGTAACCTTAACTCACGTATTCTATATAACAATATTTTATTTTACATGTAAAAGGACTAACTAAGTTTCAAACAAAATTCTCATCCTCCAACCCTCACTATGTCTCCTATATACCTCCCCCTTTTTTGTGTGTCTTTGTTTTATCAAAAGTATTCGTTACGTTAACCTAAATATCTCAAAATCAATCATAATCAAAAAATTTTAGAACTTCACCTACCCCGGTTTGTACTGTATATTGCACAGAACGGAATATGAGGAAATGGCGAAAACAGGCGGGAAACATGAAGAAAGCCGTGTAGAGAAAAGTTGCATGTAAAATAACTTAAAAGAATACAAATAATACGTCTATATGCACTATAAGCAATTTTATTTGCAAAAGCCGCAAGCGTTAATTCTTATGACTTCCATTTATTATATATGTATATAATACATCTAGAGAGAGAGAGAGCATTTTATTCACTGTGATTTTTTTTTAAAAGACGGCATACTTACGCATATAAACAACCACATGCACCTGACGTTACTTATTTTTCTTTTAATAAGAAAAATTTTCCCTACCTAATATTGGTATATTGTTTTTATTGAAAGAAAAATAAGTAACGTCGGGTGCCTGTGTAAACAACGTTTAAAAAATGTTTTGTAAATATTTTCGAATTCAAAACGTAAAAAATTCTCTTCACATCCGCCCTAACCTGACTATAAACAACAAAATAATAGATGAGAAATTAAATAATAAAGTGATATAATATCAATTGTGTTTATTGAAACTCACCATCAAGGAAGAATATTGTCTAACATCCCCCCTTTCTATTTAAAGAGCTAGCTTTTTAAATCAGGATATCCGATTGTTTTCTGTGCTTATAAAATAACAAGAGTTATCTTTCTTAGCGCTCTTGAAAATATTTTTTTTTCTATGAAACAAAATATTAATTACATGGTTATAAACAATTTTGCATATTAAATTTTTATAACAATAAAATTAATTATACGTTAAGAGCACAAGCCTTCAGAACGCTTTGATCTGACTGACATGTACAAAAAAAAAATTATACATGTCGGTCAGACCAAAGCGATCTGAAGGCCAGTGGTTAAGAGATAGAAATATGTCAATTTTTCATTCGAACTAGGTATAAATGTTGGAAGTAAACTATTATAAATAATTAATAAAAAAAAAATGGTAATAGAAACTAGAAATCAGCATTTGTACAATTGAACAGATTCGATAAAATTGGATTAGAAAGCTGTTCTGATAAATGAAATCTGTAAAATCTAACATGATAACTTATTGAATTTCGTGGAAAACGTCTTCGGAGAGTTAACTCTCTTATCAAAATTGTCTTCAGACAGTTATCTCTCTTATCAGAGGGATATTACACCTTAAGGTTGAAATAAATGGGTGGAAAATTAGGCGGGAATCAAGAGTTAGCGTTCTTAATGTAAATGCATTGTATTGTCAGTCAAGCAGTTTATGGCATATTTTAATTATATACATCTTAAAGAATTATCTAGTTATTAATTTAGTAGTATTTTTGTGGATATGTAGGTAGAGGACCCCCCCCCCCCCTTTTTTCCGAAATAGTTTTTTTTATCATGGGTATGACTTTCATATTTCACATGTGTATTCCTTATAATAAGACATTTTTTGGGGTACCACCAAATTTGACCTTTTGACCTTGACCTTGGATATTTTTCGTACTTATGAAAAAACTTTAACCTTGTGAGAAGACTTTTCATTGGATGCCAAGAACTTTAACCCTTTGACCTTGACCTTGGAGTTCAGTGATGATTTCTAAACAAATGACATATGATAAGGTGTTCATATTACACACATGTCATAAAAAAATTACATCTCACTCACAAAGACACCGAAAGCGGGGGACCAAAATTCCTTGAATTTTATTTTATTTATTAAACAGTTATTAGTGTGTCTGCGTTACCTAGCAAAGGGAGATTTCCAGTCAGAATGCGCAGATTTACACGGAATATCTCAGCCTACGGTCTCAAGGATTATTGGGAGTGTTTTGCTGGCCTTAGATTCTGAACTAAATAATGTGAAGTTTCCCACAACAAATGAGGAAATCATCAAGACTAAAACAAAGTTTTTCAACATAGCAAATTTTCCCGGAGTAATAGGAGCTGTTGATGGCACTCTGGTTCCAATTTTAGCGCCAAAAGAAGATGAGTTTGCATATGTATGCAGGAAGGGCTTCCATGCCCTTAACGTCCAGGGGGTCGTCGACGCAACGTTAAGGTAACTTGATAAACATGATTTTGTTCATTTTAAAATTTTCATCATTTCGGATATTTACTTTAAATTATTTATTTCCTTTGGTCCATTGATTGACTTAAAATATACCATTTATTTAAGAGTTTGAATAGTATTGAAGTAGGAGGCCCAATGGCTTTACCTGGGTATAATAAAAACCTATAATCGAAAGAAATTTACTGAAAAAGAAAGATAACTTTCTCAAAAACACATGACAAAGTCACTGTCCTTGTTCTTGACCTATTAAGAACTTTATTTCTTGATAATTTTCACAGAAAATGAAAGTGGGGTGGGGGGGTCCTGTTTTAACACTTATATTTATAAATGCATATAAAGAATGATAAATTAATAGAAGAAAAATTTAAAGATAGCAGTTGGTCACCTGATTGATCAGAGCAAGGTGATCAAAAAAGATAAAATATAACGTATAATCTATTTTCTAGATTCACAAATTATGTGTGCAAGTGGCCTGGCTCAGTGCACGACAGCTTCATTTTTCGAGAGTGTCACCTGTATGAGCTCCTACAAAATCAACATCTTGGATGGCTTCTTGGCGACTCCGGCTACGCCCTTAAGTCCTTCTTGATGACGCCGAAGAATAACCCTCAAACCGAGGCAGAAGAAAAGTACAACAGGGCTCACAGTCAAACAAGGATAGTTGTTGAAAGGGCGTTCGGCGTCCTTAAGTCTAGATTCAGGTATAAAAAATTCTTTATCATGGAACATTGTAAACTCTAAATCATTTAATTAATGCACTACAGTAACTTTATTTTATCAAATTGATGCATAACCATCGCTATCTTTTACTTTATTACTTTCCGAGTTTAAAAAAGAACAAGGGAACAGAGCAGTGTGGCTAATTATCTCCCCTTGGGGAGGAAAATTGCGAACATCAATTTAGTATGGAAAAGCTTAGGTGAATAAGTGGTCCCGACCTACTTCTAAATTGGAGAGGGTGGTATGATTTGAACGAAATTGAATCAACACTTACTTAGGAAGCTTGTATATTTTTTTTTACAAACCGACTTTTAACCCTTCAAGTTTGATGTGGCCCCATGGTATCCTACCCAAGGCCATTGGGGTCATGATTTGAACTTGAATCTACACCACCTGAGGATGATGCCATATAAATATGACCAATCAGAGATGTGCTGTTCTTGAGAAGATTTTTCCTATATATTCATATGTAAAACTTACATAGTCCATTGTGGCTCCACGATACCTGAATGTTATTTGAACAAGTTTCAAACTGCACCACCTGAGAATGTTTTCATCTTTTTCTGGTCAATTGGTTCTTGAGAAGATTTTTCAATGATGCCATAATTTTTTTCATTATTTTGTAATTATCTCCTCTGGGGGAAAGGCTTGGCTCTTCGTTTGTACAAAATCTTATAAAAAAAAATGCTTACATTTTCAGATGTTTGCACAAGACAGGAGGTTGCTTGCCTTTTGCACCCCATAAATGCATTAAGGTCATAAGTGTGGCGATTAAACTTCACAACTGGTGCATAGACAAAAAGGTCCCTTTACTGGCCCCTGACTGCAACCAGGACGCACAGGATGATGCGGAGAATGACATTGAGATTAACACTGATCGGGACGGATCCCAGCAAAGAGAAAGACTTGTCCAATTATTTGCATGAAGCTAGTTGAAGAAATTAGATGTTTCCCCTTTTTCTAACGGGTATCGATGACTTTCAATCATTGACTTTTCACATCTGTCAGTATTAATTATTTGCATTGATGAACATGACAATAACTTTAATTAATTGCTATAAAATAATGATATTTGGTAAATTTTAGCTGTGCTCGGGTTTTGGGGTCACAAAATTGGGAGAGCTTTGCCATACTTTAATAAAACATTAGTGGAATTTTAGACAAAGTACATGTATCTAATTTTTTGATGATAAAATCCTTACAGGAAGAAAAAGAAACGTAATGTAACATTAATATATTTTTTTTAATATTCATGAACTAGAAAATTGATTTGTACAAAGAACTGTTTTTAACTGGATTTGTTTTAGACTAATACAAACAATTTTTCAATGACATGTAAATTAATGCATTTTTCATTTCTGTAAAATAAAGCATTAATATTTTACAACATTATCACATTTTTTTTTCTATAAAAATTTAAATCAGGTTAAAGTTACTTAAAAATGGAACTAATTTGGACTGAAACTGTAAAAGATGTTAAAACATGTATATCTTCATTTAATTCAGAGATTTAATATGTGCAATATGATGCTTATATTCAACATATTTAAAATTATCCACAAGTGTCACAATTCAATATTTATAATTCAAAATAAGTTGGGCCATTGACCTTCTCTTCTAGATGTAAGTCTAGTTTTTTCTTCTTTAGAGCAACATACTCCTCGAATGAGGTCAAGATCTTCCTTTTGATGACAAGATCCTCTCTCATCAAGATCACCATCTCTCTTTGTATGGAGAGAAGCTCAGACGTGTCACCTATAAGAAATTCATTATATACCGTAATGCATTAAAGCATGCAAAATTTAACATGTATGCAGACTTTAAACTCCAAATCACAGAAAACATTTTTGCAACATAACTTTTAACTAAATTCATATTCATTAATTATACATAAAAAAATCCCAAAATTCACAAATTTAAAAAAAGTCTTTGGAGGGAAAAGGGGGGGGGGGTATAAAAAAAAAGCTCAAGAGGAATCTTACAGTACAGGGGAAATAATTGCATCTTTAAGTAAATCTTTATGCAATACAATGAATAATTTACCTTTCCCTTTCTCCTGTACATGTGACTTTCTACTTTGCTTCTTGTCTGTCAAAACAAAAGTGAAACATGTAGGATATTCTTAAAATAATTTGTTACCGATAAATAAAAAAAAAAACGGATCTCAAAATTCGAAACAAAATATAATTTACTTACTGAAATTGCTATTGTCAAGATCTGTGCCTGAAGTACTAGCTACCTCTGAATGAGAATTTTTAACCATCACTATACCAGAAAAAGAAAAAAAAATTGTTGAGACTTTATTCATGAATTGGTTTGACAGGTAAATTATACGAATGTTACAATTTGTCTAAAATCCAGATATTAAGGGACATTGATTCTCTGATAAGAGAGAGATAACTCTTAATGACATAAATGTCTATTGTTCCTTTATTGAAAGGCCAAGTTGAAGTGTCTTTTTTGTCAAATATTGCCCCGCAAGTTATGCTATAATTGTTTGTATTATACTTACAAAATACATTTCTTTTGGAAAATCATTACGGTTTAAGCAACATTTTATATGAGTAAGTAGAGGGTTTATGGACCTTAATTTAAGGACAACTAGAATAAAAGAAATGTTTTAAATCACCTGAGTTAAACTGTCTCTGTTCTTTCGCTGGCTCGTCCACTACAAAATTAATAAGGGTATATTACACATGTACTAAAGATAAATAACAGACATTTTAGAGTGAAGATTTTTAACCACACTTTACAAAAAAATAATAATAAAAAAAAAAAGAGCAGAAACAAAAACTAGACATTAATATGATAGAAAATTTATTTCAGTGATTAATAATGTTTGATGAACATGATGATAAATTAATTCTGTGTTTAAAAGTGCATATATTCATAACTGTCTTGCATTGCCAGGGAAATAACATATTGTTAAAAATAGTTCAGAATCGAGATATAATTCATTTATAATCATCTACAAGAAGGAGTGTTAAATCACCTGTGTCAAACTGCTTCTGCGGATGTTCTTGTTCTGGATTGCATGCTACAAAATATTATATAGGTTATGTTATACATGTACTGAAAATTCATCACAAACAAAACACATGTTCAAAATTGCATATCAATCAACTCTGATTATAAAGAGATATGTGACCTCGGGGAAAAAGGGAATGTGGTATTTTTAAAGTTAAAGTTAGCATAGGTCTACGATATAGTTTATTTCATACCTTCTAAGCTTGTAACTGCCTCTGTGCACAGGAATGAAGCTGACCGGATTGGAAATACAGCACATTCACTGTCTATAACAGAAATGATATCACTTGCTTTATGATAGGATACTAACGTAACTGAGATATTAAATCATTATGAAAATAATCAAGTGCCACTGATAACTATAAATATAATTTATGTTTACATGTACAAATGTATATGTCAGAAAGCATTATCTACATTTATATTTATAAACAAATCACATACTAACATTAATTGTTTATCATATGCCATTTTCAAAAGCAAGTATATATTTTTGTCCATATATTTACAATAAAGAATTTAACCTGAAACAAGACTGTCGCACCCCCCTGCAATGCCAGAGACCACAGTATTGGACATTATTCCAATGATCTAGAATGAAATTAATCAAAAATTAAACATTTAATATATGAACTCATTATTTATTTTCATCATTAAATAAGAAACACACTTAGTTAAATATAATGGTTAATAAACATTTTATTTACATGTGTTGTGCTTTTTCAATTTCTGTATTATTTTGCAAGATTCATTGATAAACAAAACCTTTTTCTCCCAATCTTTTATATCTGTTGGGGGTGGACCTCCGCCTGTCTGCCGTTGTGTTTTTAACCTCTCCACCTCCCTTTTTTTCGTGGAGGACTGAATATCCTGCCACTTCTTTTTCACTTCTTTCAACGTTCGCCCACATCCTCCTATGGCATTGATACTGCAAATAAAATAGATAGATCTGTACAACAAGAATGTCATTTATATTTTCAATGCGAGAAAAAAAATGATTAAATAAAAGTTATGAGAGAAAAAGTTTTTAATGAAATAGAAAGAATAAAATGTTGGATTAATCTAATCTGTGCAAAAACACTTTTTTATATACGTCTGAAACAATTAATTTTTACTAGCCCAGACCAACTAGTCTCGGGCGTCGGGCTAGTGGGTTTTCGTGAAGACTGGTCCCGTACTTGTACATTGTTTGCATAACGTCAATGAAATACTTAATTAGTTACCAAATTCTTGCAATATATCAAACAAATGATTTTTTTGAAGGGAAACTTGGATTTTTTTTCATAGTTTGTGGCTATTGCCTACCTGTTCATTATGGAAGTCCATGCGGCGGACTTATCAGCCGCAGTTAAGGAAGACGAAAACTTTCCCTTTAAAATATCTCGTTTATCTTCGACCTGTTCCACTAACAGGGCAATTTCTGCTTCATTCCAGTTCCTCTTCCGTGCAGCCGCAGCGTTCTCCATTGTTTATATTTCGTCTGCTACTTTCACTTTTCCCGCACAGCTTACTGCGCATGAGCAGGTGTCGGTAACCAAGAAAGAAAAAATCTTACGATCGATTTTCACTTACGACAATGTGTCGATCTTACGACCACTTTCATGAATAGCTCCTAACTTTTATCTTAGGATTATCGTAAGTTCAAGTCGTAGTCGTAAACTTACGATTTTTTGTGAATAGATGTCCGCTCATCATATTTAACAGAAAATACAAGATCACTAACAATCAGACCATTGTCCGCGTGGTGCAAAAATCTCTCTCCTTAATGGCCCTGAGTGCCGAGCAGAGGACAAAATTTGCAGCTTTCCACCGGAAAGTGGTTGTTCGGTCGTTAGAGCGCTCGCTTCGTCATTGGGGGGTTCGAATTTCAGCCATTCTGACCTAAGTCAATAAAAAATGGGTAGCACCTGTTCTTTCGCCATGCACTCGGCACTTTGAAGTGAAATTTGCTGGTCCTTCGGAAGTAACCTTAAAAGCGAGGTCCCCTGTCACGGCAGACGTTGGCACGATAAAAATCCCTTACTGCTCAATAGCCCTTAATGCCGAGTAAAGGTAAAAATTTTAAAAACTTCACGATAACGATGACGTCTCTATTAGAGTGAAAAATTCTCCAATGGCACTTACAAAAATATTCAATCAATATATCCAATTGGTGTTGTTTCTTGGCTTCTATCACAGCCAAGATGGAGTACAAGCCACAGTGTGAAGTTTAATGAGTGAGTGCAAAACAAATCAATTTTTTTAATCCACTGGGTTTGTATGTAGCACAGACAAAACCACGGACATTAGCAAATGGTACCACGTAAAAGCACTATCTATATTCAGACTGTACGTGACTTGAGTGAATCCACAATGCACACACCCATCTTGGTGGGTCATGCTCCTCATATTCAACTGAAAATACAACATCACTAACAATTAGACAATAGAATGAACTTACCATCTTCCAATTTCGTACTGTTGACAAGTATACTTCAATTGGTTTTATTTCTGGCTTCTATCACAGCCATGACTGAGTACAAGTCACTGTCTAAAGGTTTATGAGTGAGTGGCTCAAATCAGTTTTTTAATTCACTGCGTTTATCTACACATGTAGCATAGACAAAACCAGAGACAATAGCAACTGGTACCACGTACTAGCACTACCTATTCAGACTGTGACTTGAGTGCATCCACAATGTGAACACCTGTCTTGGTAGGCCATGCTCCTCATATTCAACTGAAAATACAACATCACTAACAATCAGACAATACAATAAACTTACTTTTCTACTCTGCTGAAATTACAACATTTCAAACAATCAGACAATAGAAAAAACTTAGCATCTTTCAACTGGGTACTGATGGCAAGTATACTCCAATCGGTGTTGTTTCTTGGCTTCTTTCACGGCCAAGATGAAGTACAAGTCACAGTCTGAAAATGTATGAGTGAGTGGCTCAAATCAGTTTTTTAATCCACTGGGTTATTTATAGCGTAGACAAAACTAGGCACATTAGAAACTGGTACCAATTTCTAGCACTACCTACCTATTCAGACTGTGACTTGAGTGCATCCACAATGTGCACACCTATCTTGGTGGGCCATGCTCACCATATTCAACTGAAAATATATCAGCACTAACAATCAGACAATACAATAAACTTTATATGCTACCCTGCTGAAAATACATCATTAACAATCACACAAGAGAATAAACTTACCATCTTTCAATTGGGTACTGCTGGCAAGTATACTTCAATCGGTGTTGTTTCTTGGCTTCTATCACAGCCAAGATAGAGTACAAATCACAGTCTGAAGTTTTATGAGTAAGTGGCTCAAATCAGCTTTTTAATCCACTGGGTTTGTTTATAGCATAGACAAAACCAAGGACATTAGCAACTGGTACCACATACTAGCACTACCTATTCAGACTGTGACTTAAGTGCATCCACAATGTGCACATCTCTCATGGTGGGCCATACTTCTCATATTCAACTGAAAATACAACATCACAAACAATACCATCATCCAATTGGCAACTGCTGGGAAGTATACTTCAATTGGTTTTGTTTCTTGGCTTCAATCACAGCCAAGATAGAGTACAAGTCACAGTCAGAAGTTTTATGAGTGAGTGGCTCAAATCAGTTTTTTAATCCACTAGGTTTGTCTATACCATAGAAAAAACCAGGGACATTAGCAACTGGTACCCCGTACTAGCACTACATATTCAGACTGTGACTTGAGTGCATCCAGAATACGCACACCTCTCTTGGTGGGCCATGCTCCCCATATTCAACTGAAAATACATCACTAACAATCAGACAATACAATAAACTTACTATGCTACTCTGCTGAAAATGCAACATCATTAACAATCAGACAAGAGAATAAACTTACCATCATCCAATTGGCTACTGCTGGCAAGTATACTTCAATCGGTGTTGTTTCTTGGCTTCCATCACAGCCAACATGGAGTACAAGTCATAGTCTGAAGTTTTATGAGTGAGTGGCTCAAATAAGTTTTTTTTTATCCACTGGGTTTGTCTACAGCATAGACAAAACCAGGGACATTAGCAACAGGTACCACGTATTAGCACTACGTATTCAGACTCTGATTTGAGTGCATCCACAATGTGCACACCTATCTTGGTGGGCCATGCTCCTCTTATTCAAATGAAAATGCAACATCACTAACAATCAGACATTACAATACACTTACTATTCTACTATGCTGAAAATACAACATCATTAACAATCAGACAATAGAATAAACTTACCATCTTTAAATTGGGTACTGCTGGCAAGTATACTTCAATTGGTTTTGTTTCTTGGCTTCTATCGCAGCCAAGATGGAGTACAAGTCAAAGTCTGAAGTTCTTTAAGTGAGTGGCTCAAATCAGTTTTTTTTTATCCACTGGGTTTGTCTATACCATAGACAAAACCAGGGACATTAGCAACTGGTACCACGTACTAGTGCTATCTATTCAGACTGTGAATGGAGTGCATCCACAATGTGCACATCTCTCATGGTGGGACATGCTCCTCATATTCAACTGAAAATACAACATCACTAACAATCAGACAATACAATACACTTATTATGTTATTCTGCTGAAAATACAACATTTCAAACAATCAGACAATAGAATCAACTTACCATCATCCAATTGGCTACTGCTGGGAAGTATACTTCAATTGGTCTTGTTTCTTGGCTTCTATCACAGCCAAGATAGAGTACAAGTCACAGTCAGAAGTTTTATGAGTGAGTGGCTCAAATCAGTTTTTTAATCCACTGGGTTTGTCTATACCATAGAAAAAACCAGGGACATTAGCAACTGGTACCCCATACTAGCACTACATATTCAGACTGTGACTTGAGTGCATCCAGAATACACACACCTCTCTTGGTGGGCCATGCTCCCCATATTCAGCTGAAAATACATCACTAACAATCAGACAATACAATAAACTTACTATGCTACTCTGCTGAAAATGCAGCATCATTAACAATCAGACAAGAGAATCAACTTACCATCATCCAATTGGCGACTGCTGGGAAGTATACTTCAATTGGTTTTGTTTCTTGGCTTCTATCACAGCCAAGATAGAGTACAAGTCACAGTCAGAAGTTTTATGAGTGAGTGGCTCAAATCAGTTTTTTAATCCACTGGGTTTGTCTAGACCATAGAAAAAACCAGGGACATTAGCAACTGGTACCCTGCACTAGCACTACATATTCAGACTGTGACTTGAGTGCATCCAGAATACGCACACCTCTCTTGGTGGGCCATGCTCCCCATATTCAACTGAAAATACAACATCACTAACAATCAGACAATACAATAAACTTACTATTCTACTATGCTGAAAATGCAACATCATTAACAATCAGACAAGAGAATAAACTTACCATCATCCAATTGGCTACTGCTGGCAAGTATACTTCAATCGGTGTTGTTTCTTGACTTCCATCACAGCCAACATGAAGTACAAGTCAAAGGCTGAAGTTTTATGAGTGAGTGGCTCAAATCAGTTTTTTTTATCCACTGGGTTTGTCTACAGCATAGACAAAACCAGGGACATTAGCAACACGTACCACGTACAAGCACTACGTATCCAGTCTCTGATTTGAGTGCATCCACAATGTGCACACCTATCTTGGTGGGCCATGCTCCTTTTATTCAAATGAAAATGCAACATCACTAACAATCAGACAATACAATACAATTACTATTCTACTATGCTGAAAATACAACATCATTAACAATCAGACAATTAGAATAAACTTGCCATCTTCAATTGGGTACTGCTGCCAAGAATACTTCAATCAGTGTTGTTTCTTGCCTTCTTTCACAGCCAAGATGGAGTACAAGTCATAGTCTGAAGTTTTATAAATACGTGGCTCAAATCAGTTTTTTAATCCACTGGCTTTGTCTATAGCATAGACAAAACCAGGGACATTAGCAACTGGTACCACATACTAGCCCTACCTATTCAGACTGTTACTTGAGTGCATCTACAATGTGCACACCTCTCTTGGTGGGCCATGCTCTTCATATTCAACTGAAAATACAACATCACTAAAAATGAGACAATACAATACACTTACTATTTCACTGTGCTGAAAATAGAAAATTTCAAACAATTACACAATAGAATAAACTTACCACCTTCCAGTTGGGTACTGCTGGCAAGTATACTTCAATCGGTGTTGTTTCTTGGCTTCTATCACAGCCAAGATGGAGTACAAGTCACAGTCTGAACTTTTTATGAGTGAGTGGCTCAAATCAGTTTTTTAATCCACTGGGTTTGTCTATACCATAGACAAAACCAGGGACATTAGCGAGTGTTACCACGTACTAGCACTATCTATTCAGACTGTGACTTGAGTGCATCCAGAATACGCATACCTGTCTTAGTGGGCCATGCTTCCCATATTCAACTGAAAATACAATATCACTAACAATCACACAATACAATACACTTACTATGCTATTCTGCTGAAAATACAACAATTCAAAAAATCAGACAATAGTATAAACCTACCATCTTTCAGATGGGTACTGCTGGCAAATATACTTCAATCGGTGTTGTTTCTTGCCTTCTATCACAGCCAACATGAAGTACAAGTCAAAGGCTGAAGATTTATGAGAGAGTGGCTCAAATCAGTTTTTTTAATCCACTGGGTTTGTCTACAGCATAGACAAAACCAGGGACATTAGCAACTGGTACCACGTACTAGCACTACGTATTCAGACTCTGATTTGAGTGCATCCACAATGTGCACACCTATCTTGGTGGGCCATGCTCCTCTTGGTTACAGACTACTAATTTTACCCCTATTTCATTGACCACTCAAGTAGTTCCAGTTTAAAAATAGAGGTTTTTTCTTAAAAATTCTTTGGGGTGTTTATGGGGTGGACTGATGTTATTTCTGGGTTTAGATGGAAAGGAGAGGGTTTGAAAAAAAATAAAAAATTGTTAATATGTGAAATTTTGCACTTGCGCGCGTAGTAGGAAGGGTGTAAAGAGGCCCATATTTACCCTTTCCCCGAAGAGAAAGTGAAAAAAGCAGGGTAGGGGTTATTTGCGATGCCTTAGCAGGAACTGCATGCGATGAATTTTCCTGAGAGTCTGAAAAATTTTTGGACTTGAATTCTTCTTACTCTGTGCCAAGTTTCAGGTAAGTTGAGCTGGTGTAATTTTTTTAATCATTTTTTATAGTATAAAGGAATGTATAGCAAAATAATTGGTAGTCTGTGTCCTATGAGGTCAAAGGTCAAATCTCACGTTAATCAATTTATTGGCACTTTTTGGATAATTTGGAACTAATTATGCAAATTGTTGACAAATTTTATGGAAAAAATTGTATTTTGGAGAAGTTAAATGGATTTAAATAATTGAAAAGGGGGAGGGGGCACCTGCTCAGCTTGTCAAAGGTATGACGTAATGTGTGCAATTGATGTGTGTCAAAAATTTATGCAATATGAATTTTGATTCTATATATAATGTTGTAGGTGACATAAAACCCATTCCTCACCTATCCTGCTATTTTAAATGCCAAATGGAGTTCAAAAACCAAGGTATGTTTTAAACATTTGATTGTTCAGATTACACTGTTGTTAATAGGAAAGTAATGCCTAATTTCTCAAAACTTTGGCTACTTGGTGTCTGTAATTTTAGTTGACACAGTTACTTATTAATTTGACACAATTACTTATTAATTATGAATGTGAACTAAAGTTGAAATTCTTAAAAATTTATTTTTTTTTCAGTGGCTCATTTCTACTGACTGATGTGGGATTGCAAGCAGTTATAGCCTGGATGGGTGGCTTCATAAAAAATCAGGCCAGTTGCCAGTCAGAAGTGAACAATTTTGTACCAGGAGCAGAGACAATGATCATTCAGAAAACAAGATACAGCTGTCAACAATATTGCAGTCCACAACAGCCAAGTTAAAGGTATATAGTCAACTGACTCTTAAGTTTGTATTTTTTTTTGTGTGTTTGATTTCTTTTTTACACTGTTTTCATCTGTCATCATCATCTCTTGCCAATCAATGTGTACTCTCTGAAACTTTCTCTTTTTCCTTCTTCTTTTGGAATTGAATATCTGCTGTCTGATTGCTGGCACTGATCTGTGATTGTCCAAGACAGGGGAGGTCAGTGAGGTGCTCAACATTTCATATGGGATGTTTGGTCCTACTGACTTCTTCTACTCTTGTGGCATCTTGGACATCATTGTCGGTGGTCGCATATCAGACAAAATCATCAGTTTTTGACAAGGACATATGTTTTCAAGATTTTGGATAAACACTGTGCAGAAATAGTGATACACAAGACAGACAGAATTTATGTACTCCATTTTAATAGAACCTTCTCTACCCCCCCCCCTCCCTGTTCTAGCTTCCAAGCATCTCCAGGAGTGATTATAGGTGACACAGGCATGGTATGTATTTTCTATGCTGAACCATTGAAAGTATATAGACATGCTTTTTAATCATTTTGTTTGTTTTGGTACCTTTACAGTGCAGAGTTGCCTCCCTTTTTTTTACAGCAGCCTGAAGAATGTTTGTAGGTAAAATGCATATATAAATTCCTTTTCTTGTAAATTCAGAATTATAAAATCCAAAATTTCACAGAATTTTTGGTATTTATTATCTAATAATGCATATTGTTACAAGAAATACCCATCAAAGAAGTCTAAATATGACCAGGGATAATCCAATTAGAGTAGTAAGTACCACTTCCTGACAGAGGCTGAATTGACCAGGTTGGATAATCTGCTTATAACAAAGGTATTAATCTCTTTCCCTTAACTTTTATACTAATTTTTTATAGCCTATATATTGTAGAATTTTTTAATATTTGTTTTACTAAAATTAAAATGTGCTAAATATTTTTATTTTTAATATTTCCAAGAATTTTATGCTTTTTGAAGGTACTTTTTTGAAAAATTGTTTAAAATATTTACTTATGCAATAGGTTAAGTTTTGTTCTTGAAATTTGTGTAGGACATATATATCTAGTATACAAAAATATAAGGAAAGAAAATAACTGTCATGCATGTGAGCTGTGAGCATTTCAAATCTGAGAACTGTGTGCCTAATGCTTATTTTACCCTCTGATTTAAGGTGTTCCAGCACATCAATTAAAGGGCCATAACTCTGCTTAGGAATCATCAATTTCAATGAAACTTCACCGGCCACTTTGTAGATACAAAAAACTCCAGCATGTCAAATTTCAGCAAAATCAGACAAGGTTTGTGTCCTTATTAGGTTACAGACTACTAATTTTACCCCTATTTCATTGACCACTCAAGTAGTTCCAGTTTAAAAATAGAGGTTTTTTCTTAAAAATTCTTTGGGGTGTTTATGGGGTGGACTGATGTTATTTCTGGGTTTAGATGGAAAGGAGAGGGTTTGAAAAAAAATAAAAAATTGTTAATATGTGAAATTTTGCACTTGCGCGCGTAGTAGGAAGGGTGTAAAGAGGCCCATATTTACCCTATCCCCGAAGAGAAAGTGAAAAAAGCAGGGTAGGGGTTATTTGCGATGCCTTAGCAGGAACTGCATGCGATGAATTTTCCTGAGAGTCTGAAAAATTTTTGGACTTGAATTCTTCTTACTCTGTGCCAAGTTTCAGGTAAGTTGAGCTGGTGTAATTTTTTTAATCATTTTTTATAGTATAAAGGAATGTATAGCAAAATAATTGGTAGTCTGTGTCCTCTTATTCAAATGAAAATGCAACATCACTAACAATCAGATTTTTTAACAGTACTTGCAAGCATTTTCTTTAGGTATATATTGTGTGAACTGTTATTTTCCGTCTGTATCTTACGAAAGTCTGTTCATGTAAATCGCACATTTCAGACAGGAAAGGCAAGTCTACATATATTGTGTCAATTTTGAGCCCGATTAAATAATAACGAAACACGGGACTGATCCCGCTTTGAAGTCAACATAATGTAACGCATTCAGAATATTTTTTTTATTTCCGAGTCCAAATAAAAAAAAAGTATTAGTCAAATTGTTGAACTTTTAATTATACTATTGAAATTAATTAATTGTCTTCACACCGTTTACTTCGCAAGTGCCTTGAATAAAGGTTATGACTGAACGATACATACGGGTGAAATTATACAAGCTTGTTTAATTAAATAATTACATTGCACGTCTACTAGATGGCAAAACTACCGTAATCGTTAGCCATAGAAATTAATTTAACAATTGACAAGTTTTATAAAACACCAACAACTACGTGTTTGTATACACTCTCATAATTATAATGGCAGTCTACATCTAATCATAGATGATAATAAAATTTCAGTTTATCCTTATAAATCTTTACAAGAATTATTCACTGTATGTTGAATTCGCGGAATTTTTTTTCCCGCGAATATGGCGAATATTACCTCCGCAAGTTAATTTCCTGCTGTACAGTATTCAGACCGTGACTTAAGTGCATCCACAATGCGCACACCTATCTTGGTGGGCCATGCTCCTCATATTCAACTGAAAATACAACATCACTAACAATCAAACAATACAATACACTTACTATTTTACTATGCTGAAATTACAACATTTCAAAGAACATTTCAAAGAATCAGACAAGAGAATAAACTTACCATCTTTCAATTGGGTACTGCTGGCAAGAATACTTCAATCGGTGTTGTTTCTTGGCTTTTATCACAGCCAACATGGAGTACAAATCACAGTCTGAAGTTTTATGAGAGAGTGAGTCATATCAGTTTTTTAATCCACTGGGTTTGTCTATACCATAGACAAAACAATGGACATTAGCAACTGGTACCACGTACCAGCACTACCTATTCAGACTGTGACTAGAATGCATCCACAATGTGCACACCTGTCATGGTGGGCCAAGCCTCTCATATTCAACTGAAAATACAACAAAACAAACAATCAGACAACACAATACACTTACTATGCTACTCTGCTGAAAATACAACATTTCAAGGAATCAGACAAGAGAATAAACTTGCCATAATCAACTGGGTACTGCTGGCAAGTATATTTCAATCGGTGTTGTTTATTGGCTTCTGTCACAGCCAAGATTGAGTAAAAGTCATAGTCTGAAGTTTTATGAGTGAGTGGCTCAAAGTCAAATCAGTTTTTTAATCCACTGGGTGTGTCTATACCCTAGACAAAACCAGGGACATTAGCGACTGGTACCACGTACTAGCACTATCTATTCAGACTGTGACTTGAGTGCATCCAGAATACGCACACCTGTCTCAGTGGGCCATGCTCCCCATATTCAACTGAAAATACAATATCACTAACAATCACACAATACAATAAACTTACTATGCAACTCTGCTGAAAATGCAACATCATTAACAATCAGAAAAAAGAATAAACTTACCATCATCCAATTGGCTACTGCTGGGAAGTATACATCAATCGGTGTTGTTTCTTGGCTTCCATCACAGCCAAGATGGAGTACAAGTCATAGTCTGAAGTTTTCTGAGTGAGTGGCTCAAATCAGTTTTTTAATCCACTGCGTTTCTCTATATCATAGAAAAAACCAGGGACATTAGCAACAGGTACCACGTACTAGCACTACGTACTCAGACTCTGACTTGAGTGCAACCACAATGTGCACACTTATCTTGGTGGGCCATGCTCCTCTTATTCAAATGAAAATACAACATCACTACCAATCACACGATACAATAAACTTACTATTTTACTATGCTGAAATTAAAACATTTCAAAATATCAGACAAGAGAATAAACTTACCATCTCACAATTGGGTACTGCTGGCAAGTATACCTTAATTTGTGTTGTTTCTTGGCCTGTATAACAGCCAACAGGGAGTACAAGTCGCAGTCTGAAGTTTTATGAGTGAGTGGCTCAAATCAGTTTTTTAATCCACTGGGTTTATCTATAGCATGGACAAAACCAGGGCCATTAGCAACAGGTACCACGTACTAGCACCACCTATTCAGACTGTGACTTGAGTGCATCTACAATGTGCACACCTCTCTTGGTGGGCCATGCTCACCATATTCAACTGAAAATACATCACTAACAATCAGACAATACATTACACTTACTGTTCTATTATGCTGAAAATACAACATCATTAACAATCAGACAATAAAATAAACTTACCATCTTTCAATTGGGTACTGCTGGCAAGTATACTTCAATCGGTGTTGTTTCTTGGCTTCTATCACAGCCAAGATGGAGTACAAGTCACAGTCTGAAGTTTTATGAGTGAGTGGCTCAAATCAGTTTTTAATCCACTGGGTTTGTCTATAGCATAGACAAAACCAGGGACATTAGCAACTGGTACCACATACTAGCACTTCCTATTCAGACTGTGACTTGAGTGCATCTACAATGTGCACAACTCTCTTGGTGGGCCATGCTCTTCATATTCAACTGAAAATACAACATCACTAAAAATGAGACAATACAATACACTTACTATTTCACTGTGCTGAAAATAGAACATTTCAAACAATTAGACAATAGAATAAACTTACCATCTTTCAATTGGGTACTGCTGTCAAGTATACTTCAATCGGTGTTGTTTCTTGGCTTCTATCACAGCCAAGATGGAGTACAAGTCACAGTCTGAAGTTTTATGAGTGAGTGGCTCAAATCAGTTTTTATGAGTGGCTCAAATCAGTTTTTTAATCCACTGGGTTTGTCTATACCATAGAAAAAACCAGGGACATTAGCAACTGGTACCATGTACTAGCACTACCTATTCAGACTCTGACTTAAGTGCATCCACAATGTGCACACCTATCTTGGTGGGCCATGCTCCTCACATTCACCTGAAAATACAACATCACTAACAATCAAACAATACAATACACTTACTATTTTACTATGCTGAAATTGCAACATTTCAAAGAATCAGACAAGAGAATAAACTTACCTTCTTTAAATTGGGTACTTCTGGCAAGAACACTTCAATCGGTGTTGTTTCTTGGCTTCTATCACAGCCAACATGGAGTACAAGTCACAGTCTGAAGTTTTATGAGTGAGTGGCTCAAATCAGTTTTTAATCCACTGGGTTTATCTATAGCATAGACAAAACCAGGGACATTAGCAACTGGTACCACGTACTAGCACTATCTATTCAGACTGTGACTTGAGTGCATCTACAATGTGCACACCTCTCTTGGTGGGCCATGCTCACCATATTCAATTGAAAATACAACATCACTAACAATCAGACAATACAATAAACTTACTATTCTACTATGCTGAAAATACAACATCATTAACAATTAGACAATAAAATAAACTTACCATTATTCAATTGGGTACTGCTGGCAAGAATACTTCAATTGGTGTTGTTTCTTGCCTTCTATCACAGCCAAGATGGAGTACAAGTCACAGTCTGAAGTTCTATAAATAAGTGGCTCAAAATCAGTTTTTTAATCCACTGGGTTTATCTATGGCATAGACAAAACCAGGGACATTAGCAACTGGTGCCACGTACTAGCACTACCTATTCAGACTGTGACTTGAGTGCATCCACAATGTGCAAACCTCTCTTGGTGGGCCATGCTCACCATATTCAACTGAAAATACAACATCACTAACAATCAGACAATACAATAAACTTACTATGCGACTCTGCCGAAAATACAACATCATTAACAATCAGACAATACAATAAACTTACCATCTTTCTATTGGGTACTGCTGGCAAGTATACTTCAATCAGTGTTGTTTCTTTGCTTCTATCACAGCCAAGATGGAGTACAAGTCACAGTCTGAAGATTTATGAGTGAGTGGCTCCAATCAGTTTTTTAATCCACTGGGATTGTCTATACCATAGACAAAACCAGGGACATTAGCAACTGGTACCACGTACTAGCACTATCTATTCAGACTGTGACTTGAGTGCATCCACAATGTGCACGTCTCTCATGGTGGGTCATACTCCTCATATTCAACTGAAAATACAACATCACTAACAATCAGACAATACAATAAACTTACTATGCAACTCTACCGAAAATACAACATCATTTACAATCAGACAGTAGAATAAACTTACCATCTTTCTATTGGGTACTGCTGGCAAGTATACTTCAATCGGTGTTGTTTCTTGGCTTCTATCACAGCCAAGATGGAGTACAAGTCACAGTCTGAAGATTTATGAGTGAGTGGCTCCAATCAGTTTTTAATCCACTGGGATTGTCTATAGCATAGACAAAACCAGGGACATTAGCAACTGGTACCACGTACTAGCGCTATCTATTCACCCTGTGAATTGAGTGCATCCACAATGTGCACGTCTCTCATGGTGGGTCATACTCCTCATATTCAACTGAAAATACAACATCACTAACAATCAGACAATACAATAAACTTAGTATTCTACTATGCTGAAAATACAACATCATTAACAATTAGACAATAAAATAAACTTACCATCATCCATTTGGGTACTGCTGTCAAGAATACTTCCATCGGTGTTGTTTCTTGCCTTCTATCACAGCCAACATGGAGTACAAGTCATAGTCTGAAGTTCTATATATAAGTGGCTCAAATCAGTGTTTTAATCCACTGGGTTTATCTATGGCATAGACAAAACCAGGGACATTAGCAACTGGTGCCACGTACTAGCACTACCTATTCAGACTGTGACTTGATTGCATCCACAATGTGCAAACCTCTCTTGGTGGGCCATGCTCCTCATATTCAACTGAAAATACAACATCACTAACAATCAAACAATACAATAAACTTACTATTTTACTCTGCTGAAAATGCAACATCATTAACAATCAGACAACAGAATAAACTTACCATCTTTCAATTGGGTACTGCTGGCAAGAATACTTCAATCGGTGTTGTTTCTTGGCTTCTATCACAGCCAACATGGAGTACAAGTCACAGTCTGAAGTTTTATGAGAGAGTGGCTCAAATCAGTTTTTTATCCACTGGGTTTGTCTATACCATAGACAAAACCAAGGACATTAGCAACTGGTACCACATACTAGCACTACCTATTCAGACTGTGACTTGAGTGCATCTACAATGTGCACACCTCTCTTGGTAGGACATGCTCCTCATATTCAACTGAAAATACAACATCACTAACAATCAGACAATACAATAAACTTACTATTTTACTATGCTGTAAATGCAACATCATTAACAATCAGACAACAGAATAAACTTACCATCTTTCAATTGGGTACTGCTGGCAAGTATACTTCAATCGGTGTTGTTTGTTGGCTTTTATCACAGCCAAGATTGAGTACAAGTCACAGTCTGAAGTTTTATGAGTGAATGGCTCAAATCATTTTTTTAATCCACTGGGTTTGTCTATAGCATACAAGAAACCCGGGACATTAGCAACTGGTACCACGTACTAGCACTGTCTATTCAGACTTTGACTTGAGTGCATCTTCAATGTGCACACCTCTCTTGGTGGACCATGCTCACCATATTCAACTGAAAATACATCACTAACAATCAAACAATACAATACACTTACTATTTCACTGTGCCGAAAATAGAACATTTCAAACAATCAGACAATAGAATAAACTTACCATCTTTCAGTTGGGTACTTCTGGCACGTATACTTCAATCGGTGTTGTTTCTTGGCTTCTATCACAGCCAAGATGGAGTACAAATCACAGTCTGAAGTTTTTATGAGTGAGTGGCTCAAATCAGTTTTTAAATCCACTGGGTTTGTATATACCATAGACAAAACCAGGGACATTAGTAACTGGTACCACGTACTAGCACTACTGTATAGGGGATTAATTTCACGGGTTGTAATTTTCACGTTTTTCTCTCATCTGACACACGCGGTTTCTTCTTCGCGGAATTTGGTATGTAATAAAAGTTACTTCCCTTGTCTCCATTTAATCCATACCCTAGCTACATGTAAGCGACATTAATCAGCGTTATGTCTTTATTTCACGAACAACAGGGTAAGTTATTATAAAATTGTTAGATTTTATAAATAATTAATTAACACAAGTGCAGTTATTAATAGTCCCTAAACGTGAAATGAATTTCCTATATGCTATAACGATGAGTGCATGTGCACCCGAGATCTTCGATACAACACAGCGAAAAACTACTGGACGGAAATAAAACTTTTTATGCAGTTCTACGAAATAATATCCTTCCACACTTCCTTCGTCAGTAAGTTCGATATTTATTTGAATGATTTTTTAAAAATCAAAATGTCGATAAAAACTACATGAACTAATATGCATGAGAATGCAGGTAACAAATACACGTGGTAACATTAGTTACGCACGGGTAATCAAAACCCATGGCCCACGTGTTTTGATTGATGAAACATGTAGCGTTGGCTATTAAAACAGCTTTTGAACAAACACAAATTATTATCTGCCGATTTGAATTAAAGTAAAGCGTGATAATTAAAATTAATTGAATGACGGTACTACTCGCAATTACTGAAATGACCATGGACTGCACGAACACCTTTATAAATCTATCGTAGTGTATTCTCAATTTTCCAAATAAAACATGGAGATTATTGAAAATTTATTCACTGTTTCTTGAATTCACGGATTTGTTAACACCGTGAATATAGCGAATATTAACACCGCGAGTTATTTTCCCCCTATACAGTACCTATTCAGACTGCGACTTGAGTGCATCCACAATGTGCAAACCTCTCTTGGTGGGCCATGCTCCTCATATTCAACTGAAAATACAACATCCCTAACAATCAAACAATACAATAAACTTACTATTTTACTCTGCTGAGAATGCAACATCATTAACAATCAGACAACAGAATAAACTTACCATCTTCCAATTGGCTACTGCTGGCAAGTATACTTCAATCGGTGTTGTTTCTTGGCTTTTATCACAGCCAAGATGGAGTACAAGTCACAGTCTGAAATTTTATGAGTGAGTGGATCAAATCAGTTTTTTAATCCAATGGGTTTGTCTATACCATAGAAAAAACCAGGGACATTAGCAACTGGTACCACGTACTAACACTACCTATTCAGACTGTGACTTAAGTGCATCCACAATGTGCACACCTATCTTGGTGGGCCATGCTCCTCACATGCAACTGAAAATACAACATCACTAACAATCAAACAATACAATACACTTACTATTTTACTATGCTGAAATTGCAACATTTCAAAGAATCAGACAAGAGAATAAACTTACCATCTTTCAACTGGGTACTGCTGGCAAGAATACTTCAATCGGTGTTGTTTCTTGGCTTCTATCACAGCCAAGATGGAGTACAAATCACAGTCTGAAGTTTTATGAGAGAGTGGCTCAAATCAGTTTTTTTATCCACTGGGTTTGTCTATACCATAGACAAAACCAAGGACATTAGCAACTGGTACCACATACTAGCACTGTCTATTCAGACTTTGACTTGAGTGCATCTTCAATGTGCACACCTCTCTTGGTGGACCATGCTCACCATATTCAACTGAAAATACAACATCACTAACAATCAGACAATACAATAAACTTACTATTCTACTCTGCTGAAAATACAACATCATTAACAATCAGACAATAGAATAAACTTACCATCTTTCAGTTGGGTTCTGCTGCTGGCAAGTATACTTCAATCGGTGTTGTTTCTTGGCTTCTATCACAGCCAAGATGGAGTACAAGTCACAGTCTGAAGTTTTTATGAGTGAGTGGCTCAAATCAGTTTTTTAATCCACTGGGTTTGTATATACCATAGACAAAACCAGGGACATTAGCAACTGGTACCACATACTAGCACTACCTACAATGTATTCAGACTGTGACTTGAGTGCATCCACAATGTACACACCTCTCTTGGTGGGCCATGCTCCTCATATTCAACTGAAAATACAACATCACTAACAATCAGACAATACAATAAACTTACTATTCTACTCTGCTGAAAATACAACATCATTAACAATCAGACAATAGAATAAACTTACCATCTTCCAATTGGGTACTGCTGGCAAGTATACTTCAATCGGTGTTGTTTCTTGGCTTCCATCACAGGCAAGATGGAGTACAAGTCACAGTCTGAAGTTTTTATGAGTGAGTGGCTCAAATCAGTTTTTTAATCCAATGGGTTTGTCTATACCATAGAAAAAACCAGGGACATTAGCAACTGGTACCACATACTAGCACTACCTATTCAGACTGTGACTTGAGTGCATCTACAATGTGCACACCTCTCTTGGTAGGACATGCTCCTCATATTCAACTGAAAATACATCACTAACAATCAGACAATACAATACACTTACTATTTTACTATACTGTAAATGCAACATCATTAACAATCAGACAACAGAATAAACTTACCATCTTCCAATTGGCTACTGCTGGCAAGTATACTTCAATCGGTGTTGTTTCTTGGCTTTTATCACAGCCAAGATGGAGTACAAGTCACAGTCTGAAGTTTTATGAGTGAGTGGCTCATATCAGTGTTTTAATCCACTGGGTTTGTCTATAGGATAGAAAAAACCCGGGACATTAGCAACTGGTACCACGTACTAGCACTGTCTATTCAGACTTTGACTTGAGTGCATCTTCAATGTGCACACCTCTCTTGGTGGACCATGCTCACCATATTCAACTGAAAATACATCACTAACAATCAAACAATACAATACACTTACTATTTCACTGTGCTGAAAATAGAACATTTCAAACAATCAGACAATAGAATAAACTTACCATCTTTCAGTTGGGTACTTCTGGCAAGTATACTTCAATCGGTGTTGTTTCTTGGCTTCTATCACAGCAAAGATGGAGTACAAGTCACAGTCTGAAGTTTTTATGAGTGAGTGGCTCAAATCAGTTTTTTAGTCCACTGGGTTTGTATATACCATAGACAAAACCAGGGACATTAGTAACTGGTACCACGTACTAGCACTACCTACTCAGACTGTGACTTGAGTGCATCCACAATGTTCACACCTCTCTTGGTGGGCCATGCTCCCCATATTCAACTGAAAATACAACATCACTAAAAATCAGACAATACAATAAACGTATTTTGCTACTCTGCTGAAAATGCAACATCATTAACAATCAGACAATAGAATAAACTTACCATCTTCCAATTGGGTACTGCTGGCAAGTGTACTTCAATCGGTGTTGTTTCTTGGCTTCCATCACAGCCAAGATCGAGTACACGTCGCAGTCTGAAGTTTTATGACTGAGTGGCTCAAATCAGTTTTTTAATCCACTGGGTTTATCTATAGCATAGACAAAACCAGGGACATTAACAACTGGTACCACATACTAGCACTACCTATTCAGACTGTGACTTGAGTGCATCCACAATGTACACACCTCTCTTGGTGGGCCATGCTCCTCATATTCAACTGAAAATACAACATCACTAATAATCAGATAATACAATACACTTACTATGCTATTCTGCTGAAAATACAACATTTCAAACAATTAGACAATAGAATAAACTTACCATCTTTCAGTTGGGTACTGCTGGCAAGTATACTTCAATCGGTGTTGTTTCTTGCCTTCTATCACAGCCAACATGGAGTACAAGTCATAGTCTGAAGTTCTATATATAAGTAGCTCAAATCAGTGTTTTAATCCACTGGGTTTGTCTATACCATAGACAAAACCAGGGACATTAGCAACTGGTACCACGTACTAGCACTACCTATTCAGACTGTGACTTGAGTGCATCCACAATGTGCACACCTCTCTCGATGGGCCATGCTCACCATATTCAACTGAAAATACATCACCAACAATCAGACAATACAATAAACTTACTATTCTACTATGCTGAAAATACAACATCATTAACAATCAGAAAATAAAATAAACTTACCATCTTTCAATTGGGTACTGCTGACAAGTATACTTCAATCGGTGTTGTTTCTTGTCTTCTATCACAGCCAACATGGAGTACAAGTCATAGTCTGAAGTTTTATAAATAAGTGCCTCAAATCAGTTTTTTAATCCACTGGGTTTATCTATGGCATAGACAAAACCAGGGACATTAGCAACTGGTACCACGTACTAGCACTACCTATTCAGACTGTGACTTGAGTGCATTCACAATGTGCACACCTCTCTCTGTGGGCCATGCTCCTCATATTCAACTGAAAATACAACATCACTAACAATCAGACAATATAATAAACTTCCAATTGATGATTTGAGTACTGTTGGGAAGTATGGGGATAACCAGTGACATTATTAGCTGTTACGTGTTTTGTTTTTGTTATCCACGCAATGGGAAATATCTTATTTTTTAAATGCACTTTTAACTATCTAAACATTTTTAATTTTCATTTCAGCAGTGATTTTTAAACCCAATAATTTCATTGTATGTTACTATAAAATAAAAATTCACATTTGACTAGTAGATTGCGTGTTATAAACGAAAAACAGATCAAGAAATATTCTAGAGAGTAACGGGTATGTTTTTTCGAATGAGGTGAAGTTTTGGTATTTGGTCTTATTTCATGACAATGCATTCAGACTGTTCTGAAAACTAGTTTTCTTTATAGTTACAATTGTTACGATAATTGTATTTTTATGCTTTCTAGCGTTACTTTGTGTTAAAAGTTATTTCAAAATAAGATGAACATTGACATAAATTTGATAAAATGCTTTAATTAAGATCACCATACCTGTTGTTCTCGTTTGTATTTCTTTTTTAACCCCTCCTTCCCTCCGTTCACCCAAAGCCTTCGCGGCTTACAACTCGAGTGAAGTCATGGTAACAGCATCCGGGTTATTTCCACAAGTAACGTTCGGAGCGGAAACTGTGTAAAAATCCGGAATTTTAAGAGATGTTTTAGTTCATGTCTCAAATTAAAGTGTATTTAAAAAATAATAATGATAATCAATTAAATACAAATTTAAGCAACTGATTAATATTCAATATCTTTGTGTTATAAAGGGCAAGTACATGAAATGTAGGTTGAAAGAGTAGAAGAAACTGATAATAGTTCAGCATGTTGTTCAATCAATATTCATCTTACTTTACATACAGTTTTGTCCAAGCTGATGTATAGTAAATCTGTTTTTTGACTCACTTATCTTCCTTTTTATGCGTGAAAATTATGCCCGACCAGCATAACTACTGAACATGTATCATGCATCTCTCTGTGCAGTGTTGTTGATAATCAATGAATTATAACAAATAAAGGGTTTTTATTTTCATTTCGTAAAATAAAATACATTTACAAATGAAGTTTACCCCAACACCAAACATGTTTGTATGAACCAAACCTGTCTGGTTGCTTTCTGCCTTGTATATTTTGCTATTTCTGTCTCTGCAGGAGTTACACCGTCCGCACACTTTCGCGCTCCATAACTCTTTGTTGACACAGAATCTACTTCCTTGGTAACCGATTCTCATTCGGAACATCCTCTGTCGTTTTCCTATGAAAGTGACCAATATTTCCGAGTGTTTCCTTCATAGACGAGTTATGCCCCTTTCTTTGATTTTTTTTATTGGCGAAAATTACACAAATCACCTCTAAACAGTGACGCATAAAACTTGAATCTTCATCCAAGGATACTTTGTGGTAAGTTTAGTGGAAAATGGCCCAGTGGTTTTTTGTAGACTGACAGACAGACAGCTAAACAGACAGCTTTCAATAAATGTAGATCTATTTTACGTGGTAAGGTACCATACATGATACAATGAGATTTATTTTGATCATCAAGAATTTGTTATCATCAGAGACCTTAATCTCAGCGAGATTCGTAGGGACTAAAATTTTGGTCTAGCGTCCACACACCAGACCAAAATTTAAGTCCCTTACACAGTCCTAAAGTTTAAGTTTTAGTACCTGTACATACATATGCTTCCTTGTCAGCGAGTTTTATAAACACATTCTTTAAAAAACAAATTATAACAAGCAATTATGCCGGGGGGGGGGGGGGGGGGGCTTTTCGAGTTAGTTAGAGGTCAAGTTATCAACTACCTGTCAAGCCGGAAGTCAACAACGTATGTGAGCGAACAGACTAAACACTAAACAGAACAAATTAAGCATTTAAAAATTTAGATGCAGACGTTTGAATTAAAGAAGGACAGTTAAATTAATTTAATGGTTGCCAAAAGGAAGGATAGGCAGAATAAAGAATCCAGATCACCGCCTTCACCAATACATGTACCAGAAAGAGCAACCTATGGATTCGTTTCCTATTTGTTATGCTACATTTCATTTGGTGTGTGGGTTTAATTATTGCTTAAGTTATCTGCATTAAGGACACTCACTGTTATCCATAACGTACCCTAAATTTATATAACTTAAAGGAAATGCAGTTTTATACTGTAATTGCAACAGGCGGTTTAACTAGGGTGGTTCTACTTGCACAAGTACTTCTACTTGCATAAATATAATCCATTTGAAGAAAAAAAATCATATATCAGCATGATGGGAGGGGGGATTCATTTATAGAAAAACATAAATGACAAAATGTAAACCACTTTAAAGGATATCACTGGATATGACCCTGTATCTATTTCTTTTTTCTGTATTGTTATTATTTTCAATGTAATCAATTTTCATCAGTGAACTTTTGAACATTGAAAAAGTTCAAGCAGTCTAGCATTATAATGGACATATGCACTAAAAATGTTTAAAGCTATATGTGGCATACCTGAGCATCCACATTACTATAATTATATTGACTTTAAACTGTGTCTGCTATTTAAATTACAATTAAGTCGGAAATAAATCCATTATTGTTTTAAATCCGTGATATCTATGAAACACAATTGATTTAAACTGTGTTATTTACAGGAAAGTATTATAAGTCTTATTTTTTTTTTTATAAAGAAACAAAACAAATCATAGGCGTTTGAACAAAATGTCTATTGTAGTATTTGTATAATTTGCTTTAAAGTGCTAAAAATTGGGATTTTCCTATATAATCCTATAGTAAATGTACCTGTATTTTGAGACGGTCCCTCAAAAATACCTGGATGGTAGATTTCCCCCAAACTTTGCATGTACTCTGAAGTTAATGTAAGCTATATATGATATAAAAATGAAGAGTTTCGCTATTGTAGTTTTCATACAATAAAACTATAGTCGGCCCCCTTAAGTCGGAAATAAAATTATAAATCCATTATAATTGTTTTAAATCCATGATATCTATGAAACATAATTGATTTAAATTGTGTTATTTACAGGAAAGTCTTATTTTTTTAATAAAGAAACAAAACAAATAGAAAGATCTTTCTAATTAGTCTGAACTTATCAAAAATACACCATATGTGACTTAAAATTTCAAGACAGTACTCAACCACTAGACAAGAGGAATGAGACCTCGTAAATGTTACTCTCTAGTTACATGTACTGTTGTCTTCTAGTAAAGATGCAAAATCTCAGAGATTTATATGTGATTACAATTCTCTTATTTTTATGACCCATTTTTATGTTTTAAACAAATGTTTAGCACTGTTATTAAAGCAGGGAGACTTAAATGCAAATTAAATGTAAAAGCTGTTTCTGTTATCCTCTATTCTGCAGGTATCTTTTTGATTTGGGCTTACACTCCTTACTCTTATCTGGAATGGATTGGTCTTACCTACTGGCCTAGCAAGTAAGTCACAACTCGGTCTTGTTTTTCTTTCTTAAAATGTATTTATAAATAACAAGACAATAAGTGAAAAAGTTGTGTTTTGAATTATCTAATGATTTTCAAATCTGTTATATATATAAAACCAAATTTGGTAGATGTATTTTAAATTTTTTTTTTTCTAAAAATCCACTTGTCCTTGCATTTAAAGATTATATTCTACTTAGACATTACTAAAGGCTAAATGCAATTTTAAAAGACCACTTCAATATGTAATGCTTGTAGGTTTTTAGCTGTTGCCATCCCGCCTTTCCTCTGTGTCTTATTCCTGGGTAGCTTTGTATTCTATGAAGGCCTAATCTTTACCAATACGGCACCAGTGGATTCTCCCAGTACTGTCTCGGGTAAGAATCATTACGTTTTACCCCAAGTACACAGGCACTTGTTGCGGAAATAATTTTTTTAACCCACAGTATTATACTATGGGTTTAAAAAATTATTTCCCAAAGAAGTGCCTGTACATTGTACCCCAGTACTAAAGGTAACGAATATGAATACAAAATCTAACAAAGAAACATTATGCTTAGTAGGGGTGTGCAATATTACCAATTTCTCAGTTTATTGCAATATTAAGGTCAGACGACACGTTCCTCAAAAATATATAATTTTCCCTCAGAATTTGTCAATGACGAATAGGTACTTGAACAGGATTCCTCACAAAAAATTAGGGTACCTTACCAGGCATTTGGACAAGATACCGCAGGGTCATATTTCTTATATAAACCTTATAGGTAATCTTCTGAATGGCCTATATCACAATTTTTGGTGTACTTATATTTAAAAACATTTAGAAAATAATGTAGAAATGAGAAGAGAATGACAAATGTGACTAAATTTTGATTTAATACCAAGAGATACAAAACACATATTTGAGGAACGTGTCGTCTGACCTTAAATCCAACGAAAATATATGACAGTATTTTTTCAATACTGCATGATTTTGTCAATATGCTATCCAAAAGTATTACATAAATGCTAAATCTTGGAAGCACTGAAGTTATGGCCCTTGTAAAAATCAGAGGCAGAAACTTTTTGTATTCATTGGCTGATAATGAAAGAATTGTAAAATATTATACATTTATTGCATGATAGTGAGGGAAATATGAAGACTTATTCAGCCAAGAAAATCATATTCCCCGAGGGCTTCGCCCGAGGGGAATATGATATTTTTGGCTGAATAAGTCTTCATGTTTCCCGAACATTCTGACAAAGAATTGTTTATTATACCGAAACAAGCGAAACCTTTGAAATAAACGTAAACTTTCAAATTCGGCACCTCTCTCAGATTCACTTTCATTTTTTACGTAAAGTTACTATTAAACCCTTTGTTTAACACATTATCATCAATTTTGTGACGTAAACCAGGCTATTGTGACGTCTACTTCTTTCGGGAGTTTTCGTTCAATGAACGAAAAATATATTGCGGGAAAATACACTAGGTGTTCCGAAGAGGTGGAATATGATGAAAAGTGTGCCAACGGCCAGGAAATATGAAGTTTTACGGCCCGATCACGTGATAACTTAGAACCAATCAGATAATGCGTTGTTTAGAATATTTATAATGAGGTATAATAATAATACATGTTCTCTCTTTGATTTCAGATTCAAAGAAGGTGGATTACAAACATTTGCCAAAAGATGCTATTACTCCAATAGAAGAGTTATCAATATGTGATGTGAATAAGGCATTATATGGAACATGATTCAATATGTTAAGCTCTGACAGTGATTTGAAGCTATCCTACTGCTAATGGAAACCTACATTCCTAAAAGTTCAGGGGTTAATTAAACTTGATATATGCAGTTGCAAATATAAGGAAACATCTTAAAGACCAATATAAAGATTACTATGTATAATCTTTATTCTCTCTTTGATCTCTCATAGATCTGAAAAAGGAACATCTCTTTTGTTAAAAGTATTGAAAGCTTGCATTTTTGTCAATATCAGAAAAGTTTATATTAGGGATAATATTGTTCTCCTGATAGTTAAACAATCAACAATTACAATTACCACTAAATGAAAATTTCATTCAAAAAATATGTTTCAAAATCAGATAAATAGACAAATTTTATTGGAAGCAAGCCTGCATGGTTTTAGTTTTTTCATATGAGATTTTCACATGGAAAATGATGTACGTTTTCCTTTTTCTTGATCAACAGGGGATACTGCTATTTCTTGTTGACTTTTGTTGACTTAGATTCAAAATGTTACATGTGTAATTATGTAAAAAAAAAAAAAAAAAAAAAAAAAAAAGAAAAAAAAGAAAAAGAACTATCTTTATCTGTTAATAAAAATTTATTTAAAATCGGCATGTTTTATTACATTTTTATTGCATAGCATCCAAATGCCTCAAATACTGGCATAGGTTTCATAAGCAGACAGTGTTTTTCTTATAAAAGCATTTCCTGTCTTAAAAAATTTTTTTAAAAATAAAGCAGGTTTTAAAAATGCATATAAATAATTGATAAATAATCTGTGTATACATAATCTGTAAAAGTCTAAATGATCTGATGTATTAACCTCCAGTGAGAATAATATACCCCATGTCCATACAGCATTTCTGATGCTGCCTTCTGTTCCTGATGGTTAAATGGATTGCTGTAAATGTAGAAAAAAAGGCATTATTTATAAATAATTTCAAAGTAGCTGCAGATTTGTAGCTATCTGTAAAAATTTGAATTGACAACCTACAGTGCCATCCAATGAAAAAGTGATTATTTATTGCACACAAAAATGTCATGATTTAGCAAGATACAACCTGCATATAATTTCAAAGAAGTCTTGCATTAAACAAATGTTCATAATATGTTTGTATCAAAACATTGCATTTAATATTATACAGGTTCTGTTGATAGGGTAGTTAGTCTTAGATTCAAAGAATTTTCAGAAGCTAAGTGAGTTAAATAAGTGAGCTCACCGGTAAGACTCTCCCTTTTGTTTCAATTGGTAAAAGAATTGCACAGAGAGCAGCCAGTGTTCCCAGAGAGCCATACACCCATACGGCAGATGACAAGGACTTGTCTAATAAAACCTATATACAGTATATAAATAAATACATGTATATATGGTCATTTTATGATGTGGTCCACAGAATTATCCGACAGAAATACATTTTTAGAGAAAAGGGTTTTCAGTGTAATTTAAGCAGCACTTGGTCCAACACTCTTTCTCAAAAAAGAAAGTAATCAAGTTATTATCAGCTCACCTGAGCTTAAAGTGTATCAATTTTCTGATCATATTTTGCTTGGTGTTTGTCAGTCTGTCTGTCCATCTGTTATCATTTCATTTTTTTTTTTTAAATTCTTCTATTGAACCACAGGGCTAATTTCACCAACTCTATTTACTACAAAACAACCTTGGGTGAAGTGGATTCAAGAGAAAGCCACTCTCTCTTCAAAGGGGAGATAATTAAGAATTAGTGACAATTTAATGGCGCCATTTAAAAATCTTCTCCAGAAGCATTGGGCCAGAAAAGATGTAATTTATATGTAAGCCCAAGCACACCTTAAAGCTTAGCCTATACAACACAGATATACATTAATTATTCAATATATATGTGGGAAAAATTGTGGCTTTGATCAGCTTATGATATGATCAGACCATTGCTAACTTATGTGACTTACTTGAGCAATGAATGGTGTCAACATGGCTCCAACTCGAGCCCAGGCAGAAGCTGTTCCTATTCCTAATGTTCTTATAGTTGTAGGGTATACCTGAAATTTATCCAAACAATTAAACAGGGTAGAGCATGCATTCTGTGTCAAATACACCAATGTGGTAATTAGCACTAAGGTACAAATAGAATTGAAGACTGATCGTGACACAGCTAGGTCACAGAAAAAGATTGATAAGGAAACCCTTAGATACTTTGCATGAGATACAATAAAATAATGTTTATCTCATTGACATGTATAATTTCAAATGAAATAAAATGTAATTTACCTCTGCTGTGTAAATATAAACAAAATTAAATAATCCTTGAGAGAATCCTCGCACCATAAACATGATGACTGTTAGTAAACTTTTTGGCATGTGGATCTGTAGAAGGATGAAAAAGAGGGCCATTCCAAAACTGTTTACAGCCCCTGTGTATCGCCTGCCAATTCTGTCTATAAGTGACAGATTCAAGGGAAGTGCTGAAGGTAAAAGTAAATAATTATTTCATTTAAAATCAGTGTTTATACATGTGGATAACAAAATCACATTCAGAGGTCCATAAACCACTCTCTTTTATAAAATGCTATATCCCCGACCCATTTTTCTCTTCAATCAACCCCAACTCTTAATATTCAGAATGTAGATTTAGCATTATATTGTCAATTTTACACACCAGTCACAGTTTTGTGTTTAAAATATATTTATTTCACTTTGAAAAGAAAAGCCATTAAACATGTAAAGCTCATTCCGATTAAACTGAATACAATTACTTACCTATAAATTCTCCAAAGGTTGATAATAGCATGGTTATGTAGTCATCTGAATTCAGGAGGTTACATTTACAGTTCTCTACATCTAAAAAAGGATTTCATTCAGGTATTTAGCAGTAGTTTGTCCATTTGCTGATTATTCACAATACAAGAGGCCCACGGGCCTTATAGGTCACCTGAGTATCATGTAACAACTTTCCAGCAACTGAATTTGTTTCGTTTTTTAAACCAAAAGCCATGAAATTCACAATTTTGAAAGAGGCACCATTGCTTATCATAACTTTACACTTTGCTTGCTTACTTTGATTACTTTATACTCAGAGGTAGATCAGAATAACAAAGAGAAAATGCACTTCCACTTTATAACTAGTTGTGCACACCACCCCAAAGGAACCACTGACCCTGGGGCCACATATTTCCAAATTCTGGAAATTTTATCATAAATTGTATTTCATCATAAATGATGTATTAATACCAAAGAGCAGATTTCAAAGCATTAATTTATTTTCAGACTATGTACCCCACCACCACCCCCTCTCGATACCACTGAACCAGGAGGCATGAAATTAACCATTTTGCTAGATGCACATTTCTTCATCAAAATTATATATACTTGGTTCATTGGCATAATACCCAGGAGCAAAGGAAAAAATTTTCAAAGAATTAATGTATTTCTATTATATAATTAAAAGAGCCCCCCCTCCTACACCAAATGGAAAAACCTCGGACACAGGGGCCATGAAATTCACGGTTGAGGCACTCTTGCTCATTATAGATATATATACTAAATTAGTTTTTTTTAATACCCAGGAGCAGAGAAGAAGATTTTCAAAGAATTAATGCATTTTCACTATATAATATAAAATATAGTAATACAGGTTGGTTATTTTCCGCAGTTTTCAATTATACAATGCTGAAAATATCACACATGTATGTTGAATGTATTTTATAACACCTTCTGTTTATTTCCACTTTTAGTAGGTACTACTCAACTCTAAAATGCTTTTAAAATTGTCCTGTTAAGAAATAAAATTTTGCTTGTTCCCCTTGACCCATAGATGCTGTATACCAAATTTGGATGAAATTGGTTCCGTGGTTTCAGAGAAGAAGCTGAAAATGTTCAAATGTTAACACACAACACACAACGCACGACGAACGATGACGGACGAAAATGGATAGCAATAGGTCACCTGAGTGACTCAGGTGACCTAGAAAAAACAACCACTGAATTTCATTTTTTCAAATCATTCTCACATCAGTAAATTGCATGCAGTTACGTATAATATAAAGATGGAAAAACTGACAATTCATATGATACACATGGATAAATTTTTGATGATGTTGATCAATTAACAATGTATACCCTTTGTATCTCCCTTTGTATTATGGACTTGAAGAATCTCAGCACTAGCTAGCACCATTCCGTAGTAGGAGAAGGCAGTAACAAACCACATCAACCACATTTGTATCGTAGTGCGACGGTATTCTGGTGACATGAGATCAAAGAAATTCCCCCTAGTTCCCTGTTGATAAAATCAGATTGATCATAGTTATAATCCCAAACTGTGGGCTTGTTTGAATAATCATCAATGTCTGTTTTTGAGGTTGGCATGCAACTGTCATAAAATTATATATAAAAAGTCAATTTTTTCTCACTGTCTGAATTCAACTCATATGAATTTCCATTTTCCAAACTTGGAATGGATTATCAATAACAATTAACATATCAGATGAGGAGTAAATACGAAAAGTCTGCAAGTATTAAAGCACTATGCAAGTCCATCTTTTTAGTAATGAGGGAAAATTTAGCAGAAGATTTTATCACTTCTTCTTGATTAATATGAACAAGGTACTGAATTGAAATGTAATGATGCAAAAGATTAAGATCAATTTACATACAAAAATTACAGAATAAACAATCCTTACAACATGTGATGCTGTGAGTCCTCCTTTGGGAAGTTTTGACTTGTTTAATTTGGCCGCTTTCTGAAGAATACTAAGTGCTTTCTCTTTTTCACCGGCAGCAACTAGGTATCTGGCTGATTCTGGAAGGAGCTGGAAAAAAGGCTTGCTTGTGAAATAAAATATCTAACCTATACTCAAAACTATGAAATTTGAGCCAATCTTGTGATCTAATCTTGCAAGCAAATATTTCTCATCATGAACCATTTCTATCATTGTGTATAAATGAAGAATGTTTCCTCAGTATCAGCAATTTTTGCAATTGGATTTCAAACTGACAATCACAAAAAATTACATTGTGACCAATAATATTTATAGTAACTTAATTTGTAAATAGAAACTTGTTAATTGTTTTTCGTCATTATACCTACCTTAATTAAGACACAGATGAGAAAAGAAGGAAGTGCTGAGAGAGCTAAAAGCCACCTCCACCCTAGTGCTGGAATGACTATGGAGGCTAGGGAAATTTCAAAGACAGTGCCGAATGCCCATGCAACCTTAAAATAAAAACAAATAAATACATTCCCCAGCTGAAACTAATGGCATTCAATTAAAAGTTTATTGTAAATATTGTAAATGATTAGCCTTAAACATTTTCCTGTTAGGAAATTACAATACTGGATGCAAATTTTCTTTCCAGATTTGATATTGAAATGCGAAAAGGATTTTACATCAACAAATGATTACATTAATACATCAACTGTATATTATTTAAAGTTGAAATGCATAACAAGAGGCCCAGGGGCCACAGCACTCACCTGAGCACATCAGCTAGGAAAAAGGACATATCATGATTTGGACGAACAAGAATCTACACTACCTGAGGATAATTCTACATAAATATTACTAATCATGGCTTTGAAGTACTTGAAAAGAAAATTTTAAAAGGTTTCCCTATATATTCCTATGAGAATTAATTTTTGGTTGTCCATTTTGGCCCCACCCTACCCCGGGGGTCATGATTTGAACAAACTTAAATCTACACTACCTGAGGATAATTTCACATGAGTTTCATTTTTCCTGTCTCAATGGTTCTAGAGAAGAATTTTTTAAAAAGATTTTTCCTATATACTCCTAGGTAAAACTTTGATCGGCCATTTTGGCCCCACCCTACCCTAGGGGGTCATGATTTGAACAAACTTGAATCTACACTACCTGAGGATGATTCCACATGAGTTTCATCTTTCCTGGCCCTGTGGTTCTTGAGAAGAAGATTTTTAAAGATTTTTCCTATATACTCCTATGTAAAACTTCGATCGGCCATTTTGGCCCCACCCTACCCTAGGGGGTCATGATTTGAACAAATTTGAATCTACACTATCTGAGGATGATTCCACATGAGTTTCATCTTTCCTGGCCCAGTGGTTCTTGAGAAGAAAATTTTTCCTATATACTCCTATGTAAAACTTTGATCGGCCATTTTGGCCCAACCCTACCCCTGGGGGTCATGATTTGAACAAACTTGAATCTACACTATCTGAGGATGATTCCACATGAGTTTCATCTTTCCTGGCCCTGTGGTTCTTGAAAAGAAGATTTTTTTAAAGATTTTTCCTATATACTCCTATGTAAAACTTTGATCGGCCATTTTGGCCCCACCCTACCCCCGGGGGTCATGATTTGAACAATTTGAATCTACACTATCTGAGGATGATTCCATATGAGTTTCATCTTTCCTGGTCCAGTCGTTCTTGAGAAGAAGATTTTTTAAAAATGGCATTAATTTTTCTCAAATTCATAATTATCTCCCCTTGGAAAAGGGTGTGGCCCTTCATTTGAACAAACTTGAATCCTCTTACTCAAGGATACTTTGTGGCAAGTTTGGTTGAAATTGGCCCAGTGGTTCTTGAGAAGAAGATGAAAATGTGAAAAGTTTATGACGACAACGACAACGACGACAGACAATGGACAAATTTTGATCAGAAAAGCTCACTTGAGCCTTCGGCTCAGGTGAGCTAAAAAAAACAAGACACTATTGAGTGCGTCAGTAGCATACAGGGAAATGCATGCTAAAAGTGCAAGTCACAGAGGATTCAAAAATAAAAAAAAAAGCTGCAGCCTACATTCTAGCAAAGAGGGAGTAAGGCAGCTAAGAAAGGGCCTGCTAGTATGACACTCATTACAATGCTTAACTACCTACCTTTGTACACTGACACAGTATTAAAGTCATTGAAATATCCAGTTTTTGAAGAAATCCATTAGATTTAAAGACCACACTCACTTTTTCAGCCTCTATGGTTAAAAGTGAGATCAAATTAAAGCATGCTCACATAAACCAAAAGATTTTTTTTTATAAAAGATGAAAGTGTAAACATGTTTTCATATGTGACAACAGTCCTCCTATCCTTGGGATTTGGGCACTAAAAACTATCATGCTTCCTAAACATGGTACAGTGAAATAAATTTTGCCATTATAACCAATAAATAGCTCCTCTTCTCAGCCCTAAGGATACAGGCACCACACACCATAATACTAGTCTAGTACAGTTTTGTAAAAACCAAGCTTATTAGACTAACAGTTCCTAAAGAAGTTTTGGTATCAATCATATTTTTTTGTAATGGAAGGGTTGACATTACTACACTTTTAAATGGGAAAGCCCTTCTTCACAGGAGAGAAGAAACCATATCAAAATAAACAAGAGGCCCATGGGCCACATCGCTCACCTGAGCACCAAGGGTAGGACTAGTATAAAATGGCTTTTTATTGTAAAGTTTAAATCCAAAAGTAGTCCCATGACCAATCATGGATTTGCTATTTTTTAGAAAATGATTGAGAAGAAGATTTTTAAAGAATTTTCCTATATATTTCTATGTAAAACTTTGGTTGGCCATTTTGGCCCCGCCCTACCCCCGGGGGTCATGATTTGAACAAACTTGAATCTACACTACCTGAACATGCTTCCATATAAATATGATGAATAATGGCTTTGTCATTCTTGAGAAGAAGATTTTAAAGAATTTTCCTATATATCTCTATGTAAAACCTTGGTCGGCCATTTTGGCCCCGCCCTACCCCCGGGGGTCATGATTTTAACAAACTTGAATCTACACAACCTGAGCATGCTTCCATATAAATATGATGAATTATGGCTTTGTCATTCTTGAGAAGAAGATTTTTAAAGAATTTTCCTATATATTTCTATGTAAAACCTTGGTCGGCCATTTTGGCCCCGCACTACCCCCGGGTTGAACAAACTTGAATCTACACTACCTGAGCATGCTTCCATATAAATATGATGAATTATGGCTATGTCATTCTTGAGAAGAAGACTTTTAAAGAATTTTCCTATATATTTGTACGTAAAACTTTGGTTGGCCATTTTGGCCCCGCCCTTACCTGGGGGGTCATGATTTGAACAAACTTGAATCTACACTACATGAGCATGCTCCCATATAAATATGATGAATTATGGCTTTGTCATTCTTGAGAAGAAGATTTTTAAAGAATTTTCCTATATATTTCTATGTAAAACTTTGGTTGGCCATTTTGGCCCCGCCCTACCCCCGGGGGTCATGATTTGAACAAACTTGAATCTACACTACCTGAGCATGCTCCCATATAAATATGATGAATTATGGCTTTGTCATTCTTGAGAAGAAGATTTTTAAAGAATTTTCCTATATATTTCTATGTAAAACTTTGGTCGGCCATTTTGGCCCCGCCCTACCCCCGAGGGTCATGATTTGAACAAACTTGAATCTACACTACCTGAGGATGTTTCCCCATAAGTTTCATCTTTCCTGGCACAGTGGTTCTTGAGAAGAAGATTTTTAAAATATACCACTAAATTTTCATTAATTCCCAATTATCTCCCCTTGAATAAGGGCATGGCCCTTCATTTGAACAAACTTGAATCCCCTTCACCCAATGATACTTTGTGGCAAGTTTGGCTGAAATTGGCCCAGCGGTTCTTGAGAAGAAGTCGAAAATGTGAAAAGTTTACAGACAGACAGACAGACAGACAGACGGACAGACAGACAGACAGACAGACAGACGGACAGACGGACGCCGGACAAAATGTGATCAGAAAAGCTCACTTGAGCCTTTGGCTCAGGTGAGCTAAAAATATTATTCAAATGATAAAAAAAAAATTAAAACTGTCCAGTCACCTTTGAAAGACATTGGATGATTTTCTCCTTAGTTTAGACTTTCAGTGGGGCCTGGCATTCTCGGCACTACGTAATGGCGAATACTAGTAGATTCTCTCTGGTTAAGAAATTAATAACATCAGGAACTTAAAATTGTTGTTGACAATGATGAGATGACTTCTGCCCCACCTCTGTGCCGTGAGAGAACTATTAATTGACTATTTACTACACCAGTTGACCTTCGGCCGCATTTCTATCATATGTATATTTCAACAGTGAAGGGAAGCTGTGTAAATTTCAGAAGTTAATTAGGTAACATCGAGAATGCCACGCCTTACTGAAAGTCCAAACTAAGTGTGTAATTTTCCTACAAGTTTTAACAAAACATTTTCTTGGCAACTTGCAAGATTGGGTCTAAAGACATTTTCTGACAAATCTTTATAAAGTACATTTTCAAAAAAAGTCCTTGAACAAGCATTACTAAGAAATCTTGAAACCTTTACAGAAAAGTTTGTCCAGGAGTCTTTTAAAAAGTCCATCTGTACCAGAGACAAGTAACACATTTAGTTTCCTAGTTTATATACATGTATTGATGAACATACATAAAGGAAATTAAAATACCTACCCCACCAATCTGCAACATCTTTGCTCTTGATTTTGATGGCAAGAATTCAGCTAATAATGCAAAGCTGAAAAATAACAGGAATCTTTCAGTGAGTCTCCATATTGTGATACTCTTTCAAGGTACATGTGAATCCCTCTGTTGGGATACTCTTACAAACAAGCCCCTTTATTTCAATATTATTACAAGTGAGTCCCTCTTTTGTACTCTAAAAGTGAGTTCCTCTATTGTAATACTCTAAAAGTGATTCCCTCTATTGTGATACTCTTACAATCGACTCTATATATTGTAATACTCTAATAAGAGTACCTCCATTGTGATACTCATTCAATCAAGTCCCTATATTGTGACACTATCAAAGAGATCTTCTGTTGTTTAATGGACAAATGATGTGTACCCCTATTGTGATACTCTCACATGTGAGTACTTCTATTGTGTTACTATTGAAAATGAATATATCTCTGATAAACTTGCAAGTGTGACCCCCTATTGCGATACTTTTACAAGAGAGTCTTCGTACAAGTGAGTTTTACAAGTGCATCCTTCTATTGTGATACTCTTACAAGTGCATCCCTTTATTATGATATTTTTACATGTGAGTCTTCTTACAAGTGAGTCCCTCTATTGTAATACTCCTACAAGTGCATCCTTTTATTATGATATTTTTACATGTGAGTCTTCTTACAAGTGAGCCCCTCTATTGTAATACTCTTACAAGTGCATCCTTTTATTATGATATTTTTTACATGTGAGTCTTCTTACAAGTGAGTCCCTCTACTGTAATACTCTTACAAGTGCATCCTTTTATTATGATATTTTTACATGTGAGTCTTCTTACAAGTGAGCCCCTCTATTGTAATACTCTTACAAGTGCATCCTTTTATTATGATATTTTTACATGTAAGTACCTTTGAGGTGATCCTGCGAGTCCAGCTCCAACAAGACCACGTAAGATGAGAACCCAAATAAAGGAAGGACTAAATGTAGTTAAAAATCCAAAGTAACCAATCCACATTGTCACCATGTACAGTGTCTAAAAAGAAAATGCATGATAATGTAAGCAAAAATAATAACAATTGTAAGACTTGGTGACATAGAATGTTTAAAATAGGTTAAACTAACATGAGGAGCTGAAATATTTTTTAGTTCAAATGAGAATCTGGTTCATCTATAATTTCTATCAAACTCTCTTCATCTATGACTGAATGAAAATTTAAATCTTCTGTTTATTCAGTGTTTGAAACATCCTTTACTTTCCCCCTGATATCTTGAATCCTAGGATATCTCAAAAGGAAGTTTCTCTCAGTACCATTGACTTTGAGATAATGAGGTTTAACTGTATTTCATTCACTCTTTAATTAAAAAATATATTATTAATCTAGCAAAATCAATTAGCAGGTACTTCCCATATATGTAGCAAAAATGAAAATGGAAGGAGCCATTCTGATCTCGATGTATCCTACAGTGTCTATTATGACTTCTTTAAATGTCTTGGCATAATTGAATTTTAGTATCAGTACATTTGTTTGCTCAAAGTAAGTTTAAAAGACTATGAAATTGTCTAAAATCATATTACAATTGGCCATGTCAATAATCGACCACGAAGTACAGTGATTTATCAAGAACTTTAAGACATATTGTTAAAAAGAAGCAACAATGTTTTGATTTTCATTAGATCGTACACTTAAACTGCAAGAGACAAAAAGTATGAAACACTGAAATGTTAAAAAAAACAGCATCCCTCGAAAAAGTATGTATCTGTGGTAGACCACCTTAAGAAGGCCTTGCCATTGATCAAATATATTAAGTGTCTTGTTGAAATATTTTTTTCAAAAAGTTTAGACCATGCTTACCATTGCAGACAGATACTTACTGGTACACATGAAATTTTAGAAATCAAAATATCACTGTTCCAGATGTATCATTAGCCCCTTCAGGATAACTGCGGTACTACACTTTTGCAGGGCAAAATAATAACATTTGGTGGAGTTTTTGTTGATAGGTAATCAAATGATGTATTTTAAACATTTACTTTTTACGACATATTTCACCAAACTATATCATTTTGCCCTGCAAAAGAGCAGTACCGCAGTTACCGTGAAACGGTCTATATCCCAGGGGCAGAAAAAAAAACTTGATATAATGTCGACTGAAGTTGAAGATGAGATAGCATGCAAAACAGATCTGTTAAAATCAACTCAACAACAACCCACACTAACTACCCCCCCCCCCTTAAAAAAACATCAAACAACAATGACTTTTCTTTTTCACTCAAGTATAGTTCTTTATCTCTTTGATTTTTGGGATGCCAAAGGCCATGTTGTTTAATTCCTTCTACTAGTACTGGCTAGCTATGAATTCAAATTGTTTAAAAAGATTATTTTACATAAAATCATCTTAAAAGTACCAAAGTCCTGGAATATAGTGTAAATTCAAAAATCAAGAACATTTTTTTTATTCTTTGTAGATTAACAACTCAGTTAATGCACTTATATTAAGTTAAAGAGGTCTCTTTCAGTAAAGAAAGTATATAAAAATGAAATGACCTAGAAAACTTCACAGAATAAGTAAACGAACAAGCTAGGAGCAAGCAAACATAATACCATAAAAATCGGTCGAAATCCAAGCAGCCTGTTAAAATTGAAAAATTTAATTACTTGTCTCAAAGACTAGCTTGTTTCATTCAAAAAAAAAAAAAAATTGCTCGATGCTTAATACTTTGCACAAAGCATTAGCTGTTCCATTTTTACTGTTTAATAATGTGCTTTAACAGTTACAAGATATTAAGGAGTCATTTCTGCAGATATCTAATTTTTTGGAATTTACATATCAAAAAGAGCTGAAACAACAAATATTAAAAGATGCAAATTATCCAATACTGTTACATATGTCCTTAGTGATATTAATTAAACTGAATTGCAAATTTAAAATGCCAACATATAATCCCATGTTACCTAGGTAAAACTAAACATAAGACTTTCAGATCATATGCCTATAGAAATTTTGGGTTTTTTTTTAATATTAACTTAACTGTATGTAACATCATTTGCAATAATTTTCCCATTGTGATTAACATAAAATAAATATCAGCTATAAATCTTTGAAATAGGGTTCTTTTGTATACTTACAGACTGTCTTCCATATTTATCTCCTAAAAATCCCCAGAAGGGAGCCATGATACACATCCCAATAAAAACAACCTGTAAAGAACAAAAAACTCTCACTGAGGTATACATGTATATGCTATATTTCTGTCAAAAAAAATTTCTCTCAGTGTATGTTAAATTTTGTTCATTTTAAAAACAAAATTATTTTTTTTTCAATAATTATTATAATTTAAGCAAAACTTTTAAATGAGTGAACAGAAGGTTAACACACCTAAAAAAATTTTTTACAAGGTTTAATAAAAACCTTGTTGAGTACATACTTTTAAGAACTAAATTCAGAACTTATGGCCTTACGGTAGTTAAAAAGGCTACGTGGAAATGATCAAGCTGCCATTCACAACGCAGAGCAGGGGAGAGTACTGCCAGCAACATCATCTCCAAAGCATCTGCTGCCTAAAATACAAAACCCAAAAATCATGTCAGTGTGAAAGTTTATTAAGCGTTGTTCATGATTTTAACCTTACTTAATGTAGTATACATGTGTCCCTCTTAGCATTAGAAAACGTACTTACAGTAAAGAGACCACATATGATGTATAGGCGGATTTGGAAGAACCCAAAACCAATGGATTCCACCGCATCCTCCACTGTAAAAACTTCTCCACCTTCTACGTTTGAAGAGCCGTATAAATCATCACCGGAACTATCATCTATCAGGGCCACTTGTTCTAAACTTTCCTCTGAAATCAAATGGAAAAAGACAATCAAATAAGATGAAGATGGTCAACATTTTGATTTTATGCAAATTTCTAAATTTTTCACCCATATTAAAAAATTTTGTTAGGAAGTGTTTTGGAGAATGTAAAGTGATTTACAGTAAATATAAAACTTAAAGAGACCAGTCTAGATGAATATCTAATTAATTACATAATCTTTAGATGGCATTTTCACTGGCACAAATATAATAAAAAATCCACCTCATCTTAGTTTCTAAATCAGGTGAAAAGTTTATAAAACATTAAGTCCACAGATTATGCAGGGCCACCAAAAGGTTGAGACAACCCACTGAATAAAAGAGAATCCACATCACCAGATTTTTATATTATAAGTTAAGTATGCATATTATTTAGATGTACAAATCAGACAAAAAAAGTGGAGCTGGATTAGACATTTCCTAGGGAAGTCATCATCCAGCAGCACATGCCGGGTCCTGTCGCCAGAACCTGCATGGCGAAAGAAAGAGGAGACATCCTTGAAACACCTGGATCAAGGTGAGACAAGAAGTCAGAATTAAAGGTGCATGACATAAACTGGCATGGTATGGCAAAAGCAGCCCAAACTGGTGTTTGTAGGACTGTCGTGGATGGCCTTATGTTCCTCATGGAACAACAACAGTCCTAAGTGAGTATACATCTTATTGATTATAAATTGAAACATACACACACACATTTAGAGACTGTGTCAATTAAAATATCATTTAAGTTACCAAATAATTCCTCATCTTCTCCATCTTCGTTGTGTGACAGAAGTTTTGTGTACTTGACAGATTTATGATGATTTGTTGATGAAGCTAAATTGTAGAGTCCACCTCCACTGATATCTGCCAAGGACTCCATGGCACTTGGTTATCTGAAAAACAGTGGACAAAGATAAGTTCAAGAAAATATGCTTAACCTTTAACTGGAGTTTGGCTAACTCATCAGTTCAGGCTCTGAAGCTTTGGATATGATTATGCAATCATCAGATCCTTAAAAGTCGACGTCAAGTCCAGTAAATTTTATTTACAGTCGGCATATAGGCCCCTATATACAGTTAAACAGAAAAAAAACCATGAGCTGGTAATAGCTTTTTTAACCGACTTGAACTTATTTACACAAAGATTAAAAAAAACATAATTTTCTTTACAGAAAGAACAAAGTCACTGTCAAAATATAAATGTTTGATCTACTTAAACAACGTACCATACTGTTTTTGACTTTACAACATTCAACATGATCTTATCCTGTATATGTGTCACTCAGTGTAAAATGAAACCGGATGTTACCTGTAATGTCAAAACTTCTAGGTATAGACTGTTTGTAATCCACCCATACTTGTTCTTCCTAAATGAAAAAAAATCTACATTAAGTTGATTTAAAAATAAATATTATTAATTAATTTATTTATAAAAAAAAAAAAAATGATGCTACAGATAAATTTTTTTTTCAAAAAATAGTTCAGGGTCTACTTTTACACACATCAGTTAAAATGAAAGTGAAAGTAAAAATAGAAAAAAAAGGTAACAGACGTTTCGGAGTAAGTTCGCTGGGTAAATTTAGCCTTTGTCAATGTCTTATTTTTAGGTATTTATATAAGTTATTGCATATTCTTTTCTAGCTTCAGATATGTAATCGCTGGTCTGATAAAAAAATAAGATAGACGACCACAATGTGCAGTGCAAAGCGGAATTATTTACTGCGCACTAAAAATTAATGTGCTCTGTTTCTCGATCTACCTCTCTGTATATTTAAGCTTCTATCTCAAAATATCATTTAATGTGTGTTCCTCACATACAATTTATTCTTTTACTACTATTTTAATGGGTTGACACTGGGGGTCTTTAGTCATCCGTCCCTATTTTTTTTTCAAACCTGAGGCATGTTCAGCAGAGCGAACGTTCGCGAGCGCTCGCCAAAATTACTATTGGAGGTGTAAGGAATTTTGGCAAGTGCTCGTGTACGTTCCCTCTGCTGAACAGACCTCAGTAGCCAGCGCTGGACTTGATCTGTCTGTCTCGGGTTCGAAATCCCATTGTGGGATGTGGAGACGGTCCTTTGGATGAGACCGTATAAACCGAGGTACCGCAGTAGATCTTGGCACAAAAAGATCCCTCACCGCCCAATGGCCTGAGTGCCGTCAGTATATAGGATCACAAAATTTGAAGCTCTCCACCGTCAAATGTTGGCGTAAATCGTCTCCAAATGAGTGAAAAATTCTCAAGAGAGATGTTAAACAAAAACAAACAACAAACCACAGATTTGCAGCTTATTCTTCTCATTTTTTTGGAATGATAAATAAAACAGCATCTCCAAGACAGCTCACAGCTAGAGGCTTATCATCTTTATTTTCTTATTCTAAACTAACTGTATTTAATGGTATAGTTAAAAAGAAAGAAGATAGATTGATTGTGGAGAGCATATAGTGTTTTATCAAGTTCTGTTAGATGCTACGCTATAAAATTATCATAATTACACGATAATCCGATTTCTCTAAGTATACACAGTTTGCACATAATTGCATTGCCTTGAAGAATTTCAGGGATTATGGGAGGTGCTACTTGTTATGTTAAATGCAATGATAAAAATGATAAAAACAAACAGAATTATTCATTTTTTTTTCAGCTGAAATCTTCAAGATGTGTGTTTTATTTCTCTATTTCAATGACACACCAGAACCCAACAAATACAGGTTGATCGTTGCTAGTAACAGGGATGAATTGTGGGATCGAGCGACCAAGCTGCTAGGTTATTGGGATCAAGACAAAAACTGCATGAGTGGTATGATTAAAAGCTTCATTCATCAATTCAATGTCATCAATTCAATGAACAATAAAACTTTCTTAGGGAAAAAGGTCATATATTTTTACCCATTCTCAGGACCTATATGTAATTTAGGTAAAATTTTTGCATTATTTCATGTCAAAGACACATTTGGCAAGTGTAGAAAATTTACAATAATAACTTATAAGACTGTTTGCTTGCTTATGTTGATAATATTTAGCTGTCCATTTTTAAGATGGGATTTACAGATTAATTATGTTTACATGTACTTAATATATGAAAATATAGGTTTGTTTCAGGGCAAGATTGCCAGAAAGGGAACGCAGAAGGAAGCACTTGGCTGGGAATGTCTAAAACTGGGAAATTTGGGGTACTTTTAAACATACTGGGATTCAATGACAGCCATAGAGAGAGCAGAGGTAAGGAAGTATGCCCTCAGACATATGATTGCTTTGATCATTACACTAAAACTTGACCCAAAGGCTATAAACATATTTATATTGCAAGCACAAGAAAAGTAAACATTTACCACTTAATTCACACCCCACCCACCCCACACAATGACCAAAATATAATGAGCCTATATTTTCTAAAAAAAAAAATTAAAAAAGTGATTTGGGTTTCTTATTTAATCTACATGCATGTACACCATAATGGATAACAAATAGCATCCTCCATCTCAAAAAATAAAACATTGAAAAATTAATACTTAACTTTTATTTAAATTTAAGCTTTTCAGTTCATCATGTACTGCTGCTCTCTTTTTAATTAAAGATACATCTTTTGTTACTTTCAGGACATTTAGTAAGAAATTTCCTTACTTCCGACCTAGATTGTCATTCCTATATAAAACAGTGTGTACGACCAAACAAGGATTTATACAACGGTTTTCATCTTTTACTTCTTGACTGCAGGTAATTACACAGTATAAACTTTACACTTCAATGTATTTGAAACTTGTCATACATCAATATTTATTTCCAAATATTTTCTCGTTTTTTTTTTTTTTATTATCAGAAAACAACAATTTATGAAATATGCTGACAGTATTCATTATTTCTTGAAGAAAGATTTGCATTATGTTTTATATGACCTTACAGTGTATTATGATCATAACTAAAGGACATACTAGAAAAAGGGAAATTAACACTTGGGGGTTAAGTACAAGTACTAAAAATTTTTAAAAATGCCATAATATCACACCCTTCATTGTTCTTTTGTAATGGGTACTGTATAGCATGTTAAAATCGCGGTCGGAAAAGATCGCGATTTGTTCAATTTTCAGCAAATCGCGGTCGTTTGAATTCGCGGAAAAGGAAAAACCATAAATTTCTTAAACAGTACTTGCAAGCATTTTTCTGTAGATATATATTGTGTGAAGTGTTATTTCCCGTCTCTATAGAATATTACGAAAGTCTGTAATGTATATGAGCTGTATATCGCGCATATCAGACAGAAAAGTAAAGACTACATGTATATGTTGTGTCGATTTTGATCCCGATTGAATAATAGTGAAACACCGGACTGATCCCGATTTGAAGTCAAAATAATGCTACGCATTTAATTTTTGTTTATTTCCGGGTCCAAATCAGAAAAAAATTAGACTGTAGTAAAAATATTGAACTTTTAATCATATAATTGAAATTAATTAATTGTCGTGGCCTGTTTACTGAGTAATTGCATTGATTAAAGGTAATGACTGAGTGATACTCACGACTGAAATTAAACAAACATGTTTTATTAAATAATTACATCGCACTTCTACTAGATGGCAAAATTAATCGTAAGCTATAGAAATGAATTAAACAATTATTAAGCTTTTAAAACAGTAACAACTACGTGTTTGTAATTGATCCAGACACTCGCATAATTATAAAGACAGTCTACATCTAATCACAGAAAATAATAAAATTTCAATTTATCTTTATAAAACTTTTTAAGAATTATTCACTGTATGTTGAATTCGCGGAATTTCTTTTTCCGCGAATATAGCGAAAATTAACTCCGCGAGTTAATTTCCTGCTGTACAGTACCCGATAACTAAGTGAAACATTTTGGCTTGCAGTTCAACAGTCTTTCAAAATTGTGTGTCTAGCTAAGCTAGGTTGGTGTTGATGTTTTGAATTATTTTCCTAAAACCTTGATTCATTTATATTGCAGTGGTGAAAAAACAGACGTGGCTTATTTCAATAATAAAATAGACGCTTGTAATTGTGAAGATATTCCTCAAGAAAATGGTAATTTAAGTCACTGTCAGTAAAAGTATATTACATGTGTATACATGTATATAATTACACTGTATATAGGCACACTTCCACAAATGTAATTGATATTTTCTGAAGTTTTCATTTTCACCACCTAATTCCTGCTTTGATTATATCTAATCTACCGGTACATGTAAAATACTCAAGGTGTATTTATTTTGCTATTTTTGTTATTTTAACAGAATAACTTTGCAAAACATTAGACAACAATTAAAAACAAAAATAAAAAAATAAATGTGAATTTATACTTGCCAAATACTTTTCCTGTAAAGTGTTGCAAAATTTTCATAGTTTAATTTATGATGACAATTCAATGTCATTATTTTACAGAATTTATCTGCCTGGGGAATTCTGTGTGTGGAAAGACACCATGGAAGAAAATGGCAAGAGGAAAGGAATTATTTAAAAATATCATAAGAGACTTTAATAACAAGGACAAGAATGCAGAACTAAAGAACAAACTTGTCTCATTGCTTCAAGATAGAAAAAGGTATCTGAATCTGTGGCTTTTTTGCCTTTACTTTAAGTATTAAAGTTCTCTTTGATTTTGAGCCTGAATTAAGAAACAGGGAAATTTTAGATACATATGCTAGGAAGTCCTCTGTGTATCAACTTCAAAAGTCCATTCAAACAATACAAACCATCAACTTGTTTGTCAATAGCTTGTCTCATTTTAATAATTGTTTATGTGTAGAGAATGCTCTTCCATATTATTTAGAATTAATTGTTGTAGCAAGTATTATTTAGAATTATATGTACTTGTAACAAAAGTAAAAAAAATGGTTATGTTGTGGTAAGAATACTGTACCCTCTCACATTTATATTCTTGCAATTTGATGTCAGTTAGTCATGCACTAGTATAGCTATATTAAGCATGTGCCTAAAATAAGGTTACCGTATCTACAGTGTGGTATTGTCCCCCGCTTGAAAAGTGGGGGATATTAATTTGGGTTTGTCCGTCTGTCCGTCCGTCCGTCCGTCTTTCTGTCTGTCTGTAACGCTTTCGTTTCCACACGATATCTCAAGAACCCTTTGAGCTTTTGCAATGAAATTTAGCATAGCAACTCCCTATGGACTAAAGAAGACCCCTATTGATTTTGAGGTCAAAAGGTCAAAGGTCAAGGTCATAAATAAGCAAATTCTGTCTGTTAAAACACTTTCGTTTCCACATGATATCTCTAGAACCATTTGAGCTATTGCAATGAAATTGTACATAACAACTCCCTGTGGCCTAAAGAAGACCCCTATTGATTTTGAGGTCAAAAGGTCAAAGTTCAAGGTCGTAAATTTATACATTCTGTCTGTGTGTAACACTATCATTTCCGGGCGATATTTCAGGAAGATTTTGAGCTTATGCAATGTAATTTTATACCAAAACTCCCTAGGACGTCTCTCGCCCCTCTCAAAGTGCCCCGCCCCGTTTGTTTTATTAGTATTTATAGTATTACATGTCGCTATTTTTAGCGCAGGAGCATGAGGAGAGTTGTTGCGTATAAAACAGGTTCTCGGCGGACTTTATGTTCTTATTACATCTATTAGAACTGTTTAATAAAGGCTAAATAAATCAAACACCATGGATTGTGTAAAATTTTGAGAATACCGAACATGAAAACATGAATTATATACATGTATGTGACTTCAGTTCTGCATATACCTCACTCCAAGTAAAGCGACTCCGTGGTCTAGTGGTTATGTCTCTCGCTTCAAATGTGAGAGGGCCAGGGATCGAGTCTCGGTTGCCTCGTTCTTTTTTTTTCTTTTTTTTTTTTTTAAATACTTTTTTTTTTTACTAAATGATAGTATTCAGCATGTGAAATGAAAAATTTATGAGGTTATAAAATCATCATTACAGTGTGATAAATATTCCATATGAAAAAATCTTCTATACACATAATAAAGAATAAGCAATCAAATCTTTATATGCATATTGACATACATGTATTTTATTTCCTTCAGTATACATGTATACATTTAATAATTCTACAAATTCAGTCAGGGGGAGCCGACTTTTTCCCTAAGCGGGGGACACGAATTCTCTGAATTAGCTTGTTACAATTTTGTACAGGCTAGCAAAATATTGCTATCTATGTGTATAATGACAAAATGTACATTATTAGACAACCTAGTAAAGATATAATGACATATGTAATATTAAAGTTTTGCAGATGATAAGCTCCTAAAATGCCAGGCTCAAAATAGTCATCCAGAAGAAAGTCCAGAAGACCTAGACAGACGTGTTCGTAGACTGAGTTCCTTATTTGTAAAGATGCCCGAAAAACGTTATGGAACCAGGTAGTTTTATCGGCTTGATATCAGCAATTTTTTGTAAAATAATTGTTTAGCTTACAGAACATTATAACGTTTGATTAATAAGATACTAATACTAAAAGAAAGTGTATGTAAATTTATATACTGCATTGTTGTCCCTAAGACCCGGAGCCAGGAAATTTCCCTGCCAATAATGATGTTACACCCATGTTATTTTGGTTTTCCTCCTATACTCCCCATTGGGGAGGAACACAAGACCCTCTTCTACTTTTTAGCTCACCTGAGCCGAAGGCTCAAGTGAGCTTTTCTGATCAAAATTTGTCCGTTGTCTGTCATCGTCGTCGTTGTTGTCGTTGTCGTTGTTGTCGTTAACTTTTCACATTTTCGACTTCTTCTCAAGAACCACTGGGCCAATTTCAACCAAACTTGACACAAAGTATCTTTAGGTAAAGTGGATTCAAGTTTGTTCAAATAAAGGGCCACGCCCTTATTCAAGGGGAGATGATTAAGAAATAGTGAAAATTTGATGGTATGTTTTAAAAATCTTCTTCTCAAGAACCACTGGGCCAGGAGAGATGAAACTTATAGGGAAGCATCCTCACGTAATGTAAACTCAAATTTGTTCAAATCATGACCCCCCGGGGTAGGGCGGGGCCACAATGGCCGATCAAAGTTTTACATTGAAATATATAGGAAAATTCTTTAAAAATCTTCTACTCAAGAACCACTGTGCCAGGAAAGATGAAAGTATCCTCACATAGTGTAGATTTAAGTTTGTTCAAATCATGACCCCCGGGGGTAGGGCACAGCCACAATGGCCAATCAGAGTTTCACATAGAAATATATAGGAAAATTCTGTAAAAATCCTCTTCTCAAGAATCACTGTGCCAGGGAAGTTGAAACTTATAGGGGGTCAGTGTAACACATGTAAATTTATGTAATTTTTGTTTATACACAACTATGTTACTTAACTGTTGACGTAATCAGTAGACATGTGCCTGGGATGTTTATAAACAAAACCACGTGATCGATGGAACCAATCAGAAGTGCGGAAAGGGACGCTATCTCAGTCTGTCTTTTGTAATCGAAGTGTTTAGTATTGTACCTTTAAATTGGTCATTATTTTGCCTTTAATCCAAAGATTCTTCCTACTTTCGTTTTCCCAATAATTTGTCATGTGATACCAACAGTTTTATGGACATATTAGCTATGACGTCACAGCCTACTCCACTGCGTTACATTGTTGACATGGCCAACAGATATGGCGGCTCAGCTTTCTATGAATATCATAGACAGTTTAGCGCAAGGGCTGCAGCATACCTCAAATACCACAATATACCAGTTGACTGGTCAGTTCGCAATAACACATTGTTTTGCAATATCTTCGCAAATGAAAAACCAATTACCTGCACACTATGTAGAAGCGTTAGCCACACTGCTCCCTTCTGTCACCAAAACCTCGAGACAGGGGCCAAACCTTATTCTTACTCTCAGACATACCGACAGTACTCTAATTTGAATTCCAATGATAGTTATGGCAGACCAAGACAATTTAAAGATGGCCTTGAAATATGCAACAACTTCAATGATATGGGGTGCACTCGCAAACGATGCAACAATCTACATGTATGTAAATCTTGCAAAAAACCGGGACATTCACAATCCGACTGCCTTTCAAAAAACGAGGTAAACCCCCGGGGGAAATCACCAAAGCGGGGGAATCATTGAAAAATTGGACCATTACAACTCCTGTAAACATAGACAAGTTGGAAAAATTACTGATTAACCACTCAGATAAACAAACTGTAGACTATTTATTGAATGGGTTCAGATTTGGTTTCTACACAGGTTTTAGAACTTTACCCACAGAAACCTATGAATGCAGGAATCTACTGTCTTCTCGGAAACAACCAGAAATAACTTCCCAATTAATTCAAACAGAGTTACAAAAGGGGTTCATTTCCGGTCCATACCCATCCATGCCCTTCGACATATACAGAGTAAATCCAATAGGGGTCGCAGAAGGAAAATATTCTAAAAAGAAAAGACTTATTGTCGATTTATCTGCTCCGCATAATGAAGATCATCATGCCAGTCTCAATTCCCTTATTGACAAAAGTGAATTTTCTTTGTCATATGTAACAATTGATCATGCAATAGACTTGATTAAAAAACTAGGAAAAAACAGTTGGATGTGTAAAGTAGACATTTCAGATGCATTTAAACTCATACCAATTCATCCTAGCCTATGGCCGTTTCATGGAATTAAATGGGATAATCAATACTATTACTTTACAAGGTTGGTGTTTGGTTCAAGAAGTAGCCCAAAAATTTTTGACACTCTTTCAACAATTCTCTGTTGGATTGCGCAAAATGAATTTGGCATTGACAATATCTTACATCTCCTTGATGACTTCCTAACAGTAGACCCTCCAGAATTTCCAGCAGAAAAAACAATGAACACTCTTACGACCATGTTTCAAATTCTGGGGATACCTCTAGCCGTCCACAAAAGTGTAGGCCCTTCACAGTGCTTAGAGTATTTAGGGATAGTTTTGGACAGTAATAAGATGGAAGCAAGACTTCCGACTGACAAACTACAGCAAATACTTGAAACAGTACATTCATTCTTGGACAGAAAGACATGTACTAAACGACAATTGCTAAGTCTATTGGGTCACCTAAATTTTGCCTGTCGGGTTGTACGTCCAGGCCGTTCATTCGTGTCATATCTGATATCTTTATCTACAACAGTGTCGGAACTTCATCATCACGTGACAATTACTGCTGAATGTAGGTTAGACTTGGGAATGTGGTACAAATTCTTATCTTCATGGAACGGTGTAGCCTTCTTCCTTGAAGATAATATAACAATAGCAGCAGATATGCATCTATATACAGATGCAACCAATTCTGCTTTTGGGGGATACTACGCCGGGAAGTGGTTCCAAGACGTTTTTCCATCAGACATGTTTCACAGTGGAGAAAAACCTTCTATGGCTTTTTATGAAATCTACCCCATTGTTATGGCATGTGTTATGTGGGGTCAAGAATGGTCAAGAAAAAGAATTCTCTTCCATTGTGACAATCTAGCTACAGTCGAAATTATAAATAAAGGGCGTTCGAAAATGAAATCAATCATGAGGTTAATGCGAAAATTAACTTTCACAGCAGCAAGTTTTCATTTTACCGTTCATGCTAGACACATTCCAGGGAAACTAAATACTATAGCTGATGCTATTTCTCGTTTCCAGATGGACAAATTTCGCAAACTAGCTCCGGAGGCAGACATCCGAGCCACAGCCTGTCTTCCATACCACAAGATTACAATGTAGAAGAAATAAAGACTTTATGGAATGCAGCAATTAGCCAACAGACAGCAAGAGCATATTCCACGGGCATTCAACACCTTTTATCATTTGTGACTTTGTGTGGTATAGCAGTACCATTGGGTACTTTACCTGATGTAAATGAAGATGTTCTTATCAAATTTGTATCTTATTGTCATTACTCTTTAAGCTTATCATTTTCTTCCATTAAGCTGTATTTGGCTGGCATAAGATTTCATTATCTTAAAGCTGGACTCTGTAATCCTTTAAAGCAACATGAAAGACTTGACTGCATTTTACGTGGCATTAAAAGACTTCAATCTAGTGTCTCAAAACCTAAAAGATTTCCTGTTACATATCAAATATTATGTCAAATGCTTAATCAGTTGAATGGCTCAATTTTTTCACCATTCCTAGATCTTATGCTATCATGCTGTTCTCTCATGGCATTTTTTGGATTTCTCCGTTGTGGAGAATTTACTGTAAAGAGTAGTAATGTACACAATGATTTTCTTTGTATGAAAGATGTAATAGAGAAAGGTGATAAAATGTCTTATACTTTGTATTTGAAATGTTCAAAAACTGACCCTTTTCGTCAAGGTGTCTTTATTCATGTTTTTAACAATGATCACACCAAACCTGTAGATATTATGCATGAATACTGCCAGCTACGTATTTCACAAGGCGCTCAACCAAACTCGCCTCTGTTTGTTGATGCTGATGGTTCACCTTTGTCGAGAAATCAATTTATATCATATTTAAGACATGTAATAGCTGTGTTAGGTTATGATGACACTAAATATTGTGGGCATTCATTTAGAATAGGTGCTGCTACTTCTGCGGCAGAAGCCGGTATAGAAGACCATCTTATACAAACTCTAGGACGCTGGTCATCAAATTGTTATGTTAGGTACATAAGAACTGATGAGAAAGTACTTAGAGAAGCACAAAAGAAAATGTGCTGTGGAAACAGAACTTAGTTTGTACAAATTTTCCATTTGTTAGATCGGTATTGTTTTTTCTAAAATAATGTACAGTGTATTGGTTTTGGCGTCTATTTCTTTGGGGGCTCTCACTCTTTTTAACAATTTTAAAACTCGTTCATTTTGGACATTAAAATTCCCATGTATTTGGAATTTTTCTACCCCCAAATTCAAATAAGCAAAATGCTCATTGAAGCTTTATTATTAAAGTTTACAAATTGTGTACTCAACACACAAAATACCTAATATATTTTTACCATGCTTTAAGTTCACATTTAAGTAACCTGCCGGGCTCCCCCCAGGTACTTTAACTACTTAAATTATTAGCAACCTGCTGGGCTCCCCCCAGGTTGATTGAAATACCTACTGTATTAGTACCATGCTTTTAGTTCACATTTAGTAACCTGCCGGGCTCCCCCCAGGTACTTATATTATTATCAACCTGCTGGGCTCCCCCCAGGTTGATTGACTACAACCAAAAAATATTGCTTTGTTCGGTATCGATGATTGCCTGCTGGGCTCCCCCCAGGTAATTTTAATTTGGAACCTGCTGGGCTCTCCCCAGGTTCTGGGATAACAACTAATAACCTGCTGGGCTCCCCCCGGGTTATATTTTAATCTATGTATTTAATTCAGAGAGCAGCCCCCAAGATGCCAAAGTTTTTTGTAATGTATTTTTATAACAGTATTTGTTTTTAATTTATTTGTACTC